TTTTTAGACATATACGTATGTACACAAACATATTACGGTGTTTACCATTGTCTGCTTTGCTGCTACGCTGCAAACTCTCTCAAGAGTGCTGACGGCCACTGAGTCAGTCAGAGCACTCTTCTGAACAAATTACATGTTAACACAGTTTCTCAATACTTTGATCACTTATGAACTTTGATTTCCATGTATGATAATTAAATCAGAACTTAAGATTTTGTTTGGAAAAACAGATTTACTGTTTTATATAGAGCATATACTTTCTAGATTGTGTATTCTACAGATAATGTTAGTTACAGGATGCAGTTTCATTTAGTCTACTTTAGTCTCTTTTGTCAATAATGAATATTTTTCTCGGATATATTTGAACAGAGCTACAGAATGAATGTTGATCACAGCATGGCATTAAGCAGAACTCTATATAGAGAGAGTCATGGTAAAATGTGATGTGATCAAGTTATCAGAGCTGTGTTTACTTTGTCTCAGAGAGCAGGCTTTATAACAGCAGTGCTTTGTATAATATGATCTGCTTCTTATATAACCCCAAACACTAATCTGTAGTATTTACACTGACACAGCTACAAGGCATTTCTTACTACATTGAATTCAAGCTTCGACAGATTTATCAAACACTGAGTTTACACAACAGACTTCAATATTACTCACATATAATAGTCGATAATAAGCCTTCAAACAATAATAAAAATATCATCTTATATTATTAAACCTCGTTTCCATTACCAACTATTTCTGCCTTTACACATGAGTGAAACTAATTGAACATTCAGACTATAAAACACACCGTGTAGATGAAGCAGGAAGTTAGCTAGCTAGCGTTAGCCTCACAGACGTACCTGCAGGATGCTAATGTATACATACTGGCATCCAAAACTTATCTAAAGATTATGGGGACACATTTTCACTTGAATAATGTATTGTATCCGACGTCTATTACAAGTGTGACAGCCCATTTAGCATTTGAGCAAGACATTTCAACAATGATACCCAGCCTAGCATACGAGCTACAAAACATTAGCCCACCTGAGAAGTCGCCGAGAGATGTGTCGTTGCCTCGTTGTGATCCATTCTTTCTCGGCACTAAATTCAAACCCAGTATCTGCTGGGCAAAGCCTATCTCGCTATACCGATCCTGCATGTCTCAAAACAAGTAGTTAACACTACAGGAATGAAAGATGGCCAGCTGATGGGGAAACCATCAGAGTCGGTGACGGTGAAGGATTTGTCAACACAACTTGTTGTGACGTAACAGAGGAGCAGTTCACCCCGAGCTCGGTCTGTCAGGCAGTCAAGCTCTCAGCTGTCTACAAACAAGCTCTCAGCTGTAGGGGCTTTTATTACATACTGGGGGGTTTCAGGCTCACTGGATCTGGATCGCATTTGCATATTTAAGTAGAGTTATTATATTAAACATATCTTTAAAAATATTCTTCATAACTTTAATAGTCAATACATTCAGTGCAAGTTCATTTTTTGTTTATAATAACCATATTTGGTACAGAGAAAACTCATTCTGCACGAACTGAAATTAATAACTTATTAACAGAGAAGGATTGCCATTTGTTCCCCCTCTGCCCTCAAGGAAAATAAGTACACTAAATCAAACAAAAGCTACAAGATGCAGGTTTTAACCTTCAGTTTGATCATTTCACCCAGTCCTTTAAAGATCACTTTCCAGAGCTCAGTAGATTTATAAAAAAGTAAAAATTAAACTTAACTGCTGTATTAACTGTTCCTACATAATGAAAACAAATGTTGGCTTTGATAAAATGACAAAAAAAAGTTTTAATTGTAGTATTCCTTTGTATTTATTAATGAATTACGACCATGTTACTTCACTTGTATAGTCTTTAGTTTATTTTTCAAATGCATTTATACATCCTTAAACCTAAGTATTTATCTATGTGAAATGTCATAAGATAATTCTTTTTTTTAAGGCCAATCAAGTGCATATTGTTTTTATCAGTCGTTACCAAAAAGTATTCAGAATTATGACCATTTTTACAAGGTAACAAATGTCTCTGTAAGGTGAATTTTCAAGCACCTTAGAGTGAGTGTTACACTAATACGGGACACTTCATAATCTAACATTTTAGAATTTGGCTTTAACTTCAGTATTTCAGACTGTGAAAAAATCTGGCAGGGGTATTAATTATGTTGTACAGTGTACTTGAATACAGTTGAGTGTCTTACTGTGTAGTGCTGGTCAGGTGTCACATACCTGCTTTTTCCCAGACAACACCACTCCACATGTCAGAGAATCCAGAGCCACAGTACACCTGGTTCACAACAGACTTATTATTTCTCTTGTTCGGTTACTACCAACCACTCAAGCTTTTTTATTTTTCAAACACTCTCTCTTAAAACAGTATTTGGTTAAAATTATCATACGGGTAAACATAAATAAAAAGCACTTCAGATCTCAGTTAAAAGCTAAACCAGCACCAAGTAAATTTTGTCGTGGGGGTAAATCTTAAAGTGCTGTGCATGTTTTCTTAGATTGATACATTCAAATGAAACCGTTGCATTTAGAGCATAAGTAGCAATGTGTACATCAACTCCAGTTATACTCTTAGCAGCCCTTCATATAGAAAGAAGTCATTGGTACTTTAGATCCAAAGTAAAATGTTGTAGTGAATTAGAAAGTACAAAATATGAATTTAGAATGTTGTTTGTAACTCTCGCTGTATTTTTTGAGACTTCAGTTAAATAAAACTTAAAATGTCACCCCCCCCCCAAAAAAAACACTCCATACTTTCTTCTCTGCTTTCATTACCTTTGTTAAAAAATACAAATAAATCACTGACCTTATCCCAGTTCTTCATGACTGCAGCAGTAAGGACATCAGCGCTCTTTAACTACAGCCACCATTCAATCCTTCTCAGCCACAGAGAACTGCTCACATCAAATGTAAACTCCTGTGAAATGTCTTCTTTTCACAGGGACAAAACTAGTCTGGATTAATTTAATCTGGATGAGGAATGACTGTCAAAGAGTATTCCACAAACCATTTCTAGGGAACTTCTGGTGGAATTGTGTTTTAACAAAACCTCAGAAATGATCTCCAAACATCACTAATCTTCAGAAATGTAGATCACGTTTAAATCGTTTGAAATCAGAAAATATTGGTTTGAATTGTAATAAAAGGCATCTCCTCCATCAAATGCTTATGTATCAACCTATGGCTACAAACTTATCTGTTTTGGACATAATCATATTGCTAGAGGAATGAGTAAATTCTTAGGACATGATGCATTGGTCCATTTAGGCCTGAATGGTTACTAATGCTAACAGCTATTAAGCAGCAGAGCTGAACAGATCTGCTTCCAGAGTTAGGGGTGATTTTTTTCCCTTGATTTTCCCAACACATTGCTCCTTTTGTTTATAAAGTATGGCATCTGGCAGCTTAAGGCCGGGACACTTTTCTTATGTAAGGGTGCAGAACAGATGAAAGCCTACAGGCTGCATAAACAGAAACAGCTATAGAAACAAGTATGACCGAGCACATGCTCGACAGTCTCTTTAAATAAGTCTGTTTTCAAAGTATATCAAAGTGCCTCTGATTTTTAAGTAGAGTTGAGTACAAGGATGCCTTCAGAATGACAAAAGCTCTAAAATATTTTCCCTCAGATGCTCCAACTAAAAATATTTTTTGGATTAAACTTCAGTCAAACACACAGCTTGAAATCGATGCACATGGATTAAAAAAAAAGTTCTTAACTAAGCCTTCAGGGGTTCAGAAGGTTCGTACTTGGTCAGACGCCTTAAATATGATTGTATAATTTAAATAAGATCTCTATCGATAAATTCTGATTATAATGGGACTGACAGCAGGCTCTACAAGATGCTTACTGGCTCATCTTTCAGATTTGTCTTGTAATTTTCATATAATGGTCCTGCATGTAGTTTGACTTTAGAGAGCCCTTTCACCATCCCTCTGCATTCCTGAAAATGCAGCAGCTGTTTAAAGAGAAATCTGTCTTTTTTTTAAACCTGGATTCCACGTCACTGATTTTGTGGTTAAACTGGTACAAAAAGTTTGGGAATGTCTTCGGTAGATTGTTCCAGCATAAAACCACGAACAGGCTGTAACAGCTACAGGGTCATTCTTGCAAGCAGATCTTACAAATGGAAGAACGGCCCGTGAAAGTGCTTTAGACACTGATAATTGTGATGTGTTTGTGTTGCATTTCATCTTAGCTAATCATTAAAAACAACAGTCACACTAAACAGACAAACTAACCAATCAAGGCGGCAATACCAACAACTCCAATGTTCTGTGAGGTAACATTACAATTTTGTCAACAAAGTCTGGAGACTTTGAATAGAGCGACATGTTAAAAAAAATTAGCTTTTTTTGTTGTTGAAAAAGGTACCATCTCTTTGGGGATCCTTTCTGTGACGATGTCAGACACTTAGGCTGCGTTCATACTGCAGCTAGAAGTGACCTGAATGTGAATCAGATCTGACTTTTTATGACAGTGTGAACATAAGTCACACTGAATCTGACCTTTTCAAATAAGATTTGGGGCACTGTCATGTGGGTTTCTACAGGAGTCTAATACAAGCCACATTTAAAAAAACAATGTGAACAGCCAAACAAAAAAATCTGACCTGTGCATCAAGGCCTGCAGAGTTAACACAGCCTTAGAATCTCAGTCCGAGTCTGTTTAGTGGAAGTACTTCGATGAGTTCAAAATCTTCCTGAAGGATTGTTTCAGCAATTACAGCCTGCTTCACAGCTGCCTGCTGAAGCGATCTACAAAAACAATTCCAGAAGTTTTTGTATCTATTAGTCATTAGGACCCAAAATATGTAAAATAGGGCCCAGATTAAAGTAATTCCCCTTGGAATCAGAGCACACTTGGCTGTTGATCACCTTCATTCTGCAAATGAACAAAATCTAAAGGGAGAATCTGATCAGAGAACTGCTGGTCAAACAAGCGATTGAGATGTTAAAGAAGTGTGGGGAAAAAGAAGAGGACTGCTGGTTCTGAATAAGTTTAGTTGGGACTAAAAACACAAGCTCAGAATGCATTTACAGCTCCAAGTGTTAGCTGTGGTGAGGACATACTGGACCTCTCTCCTTTAAAGCCTTCTAGCTGCGAGGTAAGAACCCAGTTAGCATGAATGCTGCCTGCTAGAAGGGGAGAGGCTGTGTTGGTATGGCTCCTTAGTAACAAAACATCATCTTACTTCAATAATAAATAAAAAAAAAAAAAGGATATCAGAAAAGGCTCGTCAAATCTTACTCAATGAATAAGAATACAAAAGGAAACATTTACAAATTATACCTGCAGCAAAATAAAACTTTGATGTGTGGTTTTAAAACATGTTTCAATAGTTGGGAGTAGCTCTGCTCAGAAAACACAGACCAATGGTGGGTGAAGATTTAAATAAAGCAACTGTTGTATTAAGTGTCAGACTGTTGTATGCAGAATCACAGATCCAGCAGGTAACACCAGCTCAGTGGGCGACCAATTGGCTACACCGGTGGTAAGTCATCTTCTGTTCCTGTATACATCTTTCTTTTTATAAAATATTTTATTCATACAATCATTTCTTTAACTATAGCAACATTACTATTTAATTTTGAGTGGCAAGTTATCAGTCGCACATCACCTCATAAGAACAATAGTATATAAACAAATGCTGAAAAAAAATTATTCTGTATCCGTTTGGGTACATTTTGCTTTTCAGTTCATTCTATGTCTGTACACCTGTCTGTCCGTCTCTCTGTCAGTGATGAGCCGAGGGGGGGTATTGCTGGTCCTGGTGGGGTGGGGTGGGGGTTGTGTGATTGGTACAGCTCTGAGCAGTAGTCTCCACTGGCTGGTCAGGAGGAGGGCCCTGCGAGGCGGAACAGGCTGGGTATGAGAGCTGGCTTCAGGTGAACCTCATGCCGGCCCGTTAACAGCTGGCTCTGACGCGGCACTCTGGTCCAGTCTGAAAGAACCACAAAGATGGAGATGAGAAAAGACAGAAGGAAATCAAACATGAATAATCCAGAGTTAATAAAGAAATTAAGAAGTAGCTCTAAACTACAGATGCTTTCTTTGATTCTGTGCAGCAGCACTTTGCTTCTCTTCAATCAAATGTGAGAGTAGGGATGCAAATAAATATCAGCATCACATTTGTATCAGGTGATAAATCTTTAAAATGTAACAGGCATTTGAACCAAATGAACTTTTCTGCCATTATTACTGTTCAACTTGAACTGAATGTGTCTTCTTAGTTGCCTCAGTAATGTGTACATAGAGTCTGTGCATACAGGTTGAATAAAATATGTGAAGTGGTGCAGCTCAGAAGACCTTAAGATTAATCTCTCACACAAAGTGCATGTGGGCGTCGGGGACTTACTTGGCCTCCTCGATGGCTGACATTTCCTCCAGAGGACCATTGGGAAGCTCTACAGCGGATCGACACTTGTCACTGCTGACAGGACAACACAGTAGAAGAGGGAGAGAAGTTCAAAGAACGGCTTGCCTTAAATATATTAATATTACTCCTTTTGGGTCACATTCAAACCAGTGATGGTAAAATGTGAGACGACTACTGCTTGGTTAATTTCACCGCCTTCTATTGGAAATTGGTCTGGGTTAACTTTACTGCTGCCTCCAGCTGCTTAAGGAAGACCAGTGCCACAATTTATAACTTGTAATCTAGGATCAGTACCAGGATTTCTTGGATAGACACCTAATGTCCTGCATTCATTGGCCACCTGTCTCTGGTTAGAAGCAGTTTTACGTGCCATGCAAGTCACATGGAAGTGCAGTGCAAGTGACATAAAAGAAAGGATTACTACAGCAGTATAACAATAAAATGAACAAACTCTGCTTTGTTTTAATTGCAATCAAGGTTCAAAAGACAATTCTCACACTAAATAAAAAATGTCAATTTAAGATTTAATTATTATGAACAATTTGTTGAGCCTGTCTGTGTGAATGTGTGTGTGTGAGCGCACGCGTGTGCACGTGTGTGAGTGAGAGAGAGAGAGAGAATGAGGTGAGTGTGTGTGAGTTTAAGGTGTGTGTTTGGTGTCTGACCCTGGTTTGGGACAGCAGGCTGCGGCCGAGCTGTTGAAGCCTGTTCTCTCTGAATCACCACACTCCACTACTGATGAACTCTTCTCTTCATCACTGAAACACACAGACAAACAAACACAGATATACATTAATATCATGAGGTGATCGCTACCAACCACTTTCCCCACAGAAATACACACACACGCACACACACGCACACACACAACACAGTGAGGTGTGAACAGTGATGCATGCTGGACTGACTGACAGAGCAAACGGTAAAACAAAGGATGGAGGTGTTGAAATGGAAAACTATGAACACTTCGAAGGAAAAGCATCAAAATGTACAGCAAATGGAGAAAGTTTGAAAACTGATTTGGTCGTTTGGCTAAATGCTGTGTTTACTTTGTAGCTACAGAGCCAGCAGATAGCATATAGGCCTACAAACTGATTCAACACTGATTAGACCAAAACAGATTGTGCCAGCCGTCAGTCTTCTTTTGTCTCAGAGAACCACCAATAATCCTGATGAGGCCTCAATCAAAGCAAAACACCAACAAACATTCAAATAGAGTCCTACACTTAAGCAACAACTCCACAGTCATTTAGAGTTTTTAAATCGCCCTTTTCACCAAATGCAGTTCATACTGGTTTCTTTATACTGAGTACTTTGCATATCTACTTGTGAGCAACTCCACTCTCCTTTCAGTTTAGCTTTTTCCTGTGTTCATAAATGTTTTTTTGTTTAATGTATATAAGAAGCTTCTAAATATCTTCCATCTTTCTAATTAATGCACACCAGAGGCCATGCATTTCTGCAAAGAACTGTAATGAGTGGATGAGATCGGGGCAATAAATCGATTCTCTTCATTCATGCTAATTAGCGGTTAGGGACATTTTAAGGAATTAATCGATATTCACTTAACTTGGATTATCATAGCCAAGAGCGGTCACCACTAAATGGGCTTCTGTAGTTTATAGATATGCAGAGTGGACTTCAGTCGCGGGTAAAACGTCAGCATGGCATCATGCACTAGTGCTTATAAAGTGAGGAGATTAGTCCATAAGAAGTCTACTCAGTCATCAGGAAGCAGTTCTGTTCTGTTCAGCTGTGAAGACTGTCACATGTCTGTGGCAACTAATCACAGCAACACAAATGATTTATTCTAACATCTCAAACAGAGGTGCACAGCCGAGTAAGAGAAGTGTGTTACACTGTGATGACAAGACAACATGCCTCCTGTAGAAATGTGTTCACACATTATCAGATTTCACTGTGCTTGAATGATCTAAGCACCAAGACTTTTCCAGTATTGTGACTGTGTGCACATTAGACATTATAAAGCAGTGCCTTTTACTGTGTAATATAATCATAACAACTCGCAATGTTAAGACAGAGACAATGTTTAAAGGCCAAAGCAAGTAATTGGCAGACCGCTAAACCTAAAAAGATTCATTCAATTACCAACAGAAATGTTTGCACCTAATAAAGAATCCATTATGGCCCCTTGAGTTGTATCAGATAGTTTGGTCCTGTTCACATAAAAGCCATTTGAAATTGAATAAACTAAAAAACTGCACTTTGACAAAAACACCTTTGGTAGAAAAACATGCAGAATGGAGATAATGACATAAACAAACAAGGAGCTGAAACCAAAGAAGAAGAAGAAGTTTAAAATTGGGAAAGAAAAGTTGGTGGTTGACGTGACAACAAGACTACATCACGGCTGCAGGCTGATCTCTGATTGGCTGTACATACCGATAAGATTTCAACACTCTGAAGGAGACCACACCCACAACGCACAGCAAGAGAGAGAGGGGAAGCTCAGGTTGTAAGTGTCGCTCAGTTCATCAGACAGTTTGTTATTTACTCAGACAGACAGACAGACATCATAATGCAGCATCAACAGGGGACAGAAGGACAGAGGACAATCGGAAATCTCTGTGTTTAATAGTGGCTTAATAATCTGTAGAAATTGGGACTATAGATAGAGTCATGTCAGCTACCATGGAGGATTTCAATAGTAAAAGTTGAAGGTGGAAAAAAGTATTCAACTTTTAAGCAAAAGTTTTCAAACCACTACTGCAAAATTAAAGACTTGTGATTTTTCACTGACGAGTCGTCTAGACTCTCAATTCAAAATCCAAAAGAATACGGCCCCACATAGGCTTTACCATTGGGCCACAGGCTAATGAACATTGTGTGAACTCGTCCATCCAAAGAAAGTGACTCAAAACTCAGCATTTACTTAACTGAAAACCTTCCAGACTATAATTTATAGCCTCAATACTAGGGAATAAACTGTTCTGAAACCAAGACAAAACACATGATACCATCGCCTTACTTGAGGTGCTGGTCTGTCTTGTAAGTTGCTGACTGTGCAAATTGAGCAGTAGTTCTTACTCTCTACATATTTTAGAATAGAATACTGAACAGAATACAGGATTTTTCAACATGTGGTTTTAGGGCCTGAGTCCCTCTACAATCTGCCTTATCTTCACATTTCAGTCAGTAAAATGTGTCTGCCGTGTACATTCAAGCACAAGCTACAGTTGCTTGGGACTTGACATTGTATTTGTTTTTATTTCTGAATTAGTTAATTCTATTTGTATTTATTTGATCTGATTGACAATATGATTTATTGAAAAGTCTTGGCAGAAGCAGTAAGAATTTTGGCCAATGAGCCACTGGAGAGTTTTCACTTCTGTCAAATAAATGTAAATAAAAAAGTGGTGTACGTCTTTATTGTCTCTGCTGTGCTGTGAAATCTTTGTGTGTGTGTGTGTGTCTCTGTCGAACCTCTTGAAGACGGCGGTCTCAGTTTTGGCGTCAACAGTGAGACTGACTGTTTCTTTCATGGAGCCGTTGATGACCGTCTCAGTAATGCTGCGCTGCTCACAAGAGGCGGTTTCCTCCTCTGCTTTGGTTCTCCCACAATCCTTTGGTGTGGTAGAGGAGGGAGAAGCCACACCTGTACCCAACCAGCCGTCACATTCTGATGAGTAAAGACAGGCAACAACAGTGTCAGATATGACCTCATCACAATCACTGAACCTACAGCTACCCTGATAGAAGGTATTTCACTCATTGCTAATGTGTTTTAGATTACTGAGATTTTCCTACTGAAAGACACTCAAAAGTGAGATCATAAAAATAGACATTAAGCAAGTGAACATATCATATTGTGTCCTGGTTTCACTTGTTACAGCTAGTCACCATAAGAGTCAGAGTCACAGATATATTAGAGAGAGCCTGTACGTGCATAAGCACATATCTCACCTTCAGGCTGCATGGGTGCATTGACCCCCAGAGGGTCCATTGTCTCTATGCTGGTTTCCATAGCAACAGGAGAGTTGCACCTCAGAGGGTCTTTGGGGGCTAAAATAGAATACATGTAATCCAATAAACACTCTCAGATTTGAACATCGGTAATCAAAAGCAGTGATGATTTTCTGTAGCAGCGGCACAGAAATCGAAGAAGAGTTTGTCATAACGTCCTACCTGACGGGGGTGAAATTGGAAAAATCGGCCCAGCCTGTCTCAGAGTTGGTTGTTGCAGCAGGAGGCGAGCTCCAGGCTGCATCGGGGAGAGCTTCTGTGGAGGAGGAGGAGGGGGGGGCCAGAGGAGAGGGGGCAGGGTTGTTAGGGCTGGAGGCTGGATTTGTTGATGTACCTGTGTCCATGGGGATGTCATCAAAATTGGCCGTCCATACTGGGCCTACAAAAATAACAATATAGAAATACAAGAACTCAAGAAAAAGGACAAAATAAGCAGGCATGCATTAACACTCCCCAGCCACACAGCACAAAAAAACCTTGTAGATGTGCAGATCATGTGAGGTCAATGTGCTAAATTCTGGCCAAACTTGACACACAGTCAGGAACGTGTCTATTATCTGAATTCCTGGATGTTTAAACAGAAACAGTTTTTAAGCAACATAGATGTGTGATTTTGCTTGTAGATACTGGAGGGACACAGTGGGGGCATGCACCACATATTGCTGAGCCCGTGTACAACTAAAAAGCCTAAGAAACCGAAATGTATTATGAAACAGAAAGTTATTTTCTCTAACTCTGAATTCTGAGGATTGCAGTCCTCTAAGCTTTGGGGTACCCCAACACCGTTGGGTCCACAAACCTGTGTCGACTTCCATTCTGTCATCGGTGCTGGGGTTAGAAGCTTCAAACTGATCTCTCTTTACATCCTCTTCCTCAGAGTCAGTGCTCTCCTCGCTGTCTGTGCTGCCTGAGCTCCTGAGATGGACAAACAGTTTTATTCAATTAGCATCATCAGAGAACATCCTCTCTGTACACTGTGGAGAACTGTTAATGTGGAATTACAAAACTAAGTGAAGATGCATGAGGCTTGGCTGTTTGGTCCAGTGCAAAAAAGTTCATGGTAGTGCTTTCAGTTTTGAGTATTAATTTGCAGTGACTGATCAGCAAAAAAAAATAGTACACTTTAGACTGTATTGATTAATCACTTAACTGAGTTGTGCTTTAATCAATACTGAGCAAAAACAAACTGTTAAAGTCATTATTTAAGTTTAGTTTAATTAAATGCAAAGCAAGTGTATATATCTATTTGTACAGTTTGTACAGAGCTCTGTGTTATTGTTTGCAAAAAAATACATTAAGGAAAAGAAAAATGTTACAGAAAGTCCCAATAGAAAACTATTGATATTGACAATAATTAGGATAGATGTGTGGGCTTGTAATGTGTAAAAAGACTAATGTACATGTGTATGCATGGGTATGCGTGTGTCCAGCTGACCTGGGGCGTCTCTGTGCCTCTGGTGCGAAGGTGACATCTTTTTCATCCCAGATGTCCTCCTCATCTGAACCAGCATCTTCAAACTGCTGGATTTTCTCCTTACAGCGAGCCTCAAACAAAGCTATATTCGCCTGGAGAAAAACACACACACACACACAGACCACATTCTTAATAAAACAGTGTCTGAATACAAAGAAAGATTAGATGGTGGCAAAATGAAACATACACATTTGAAATTTTTTATCACTATTCTTTGAAAAAGTCTGCCTAATTGGACTGATTGATAGAAATACTCTATAGCACATATGTCTCTTAAAAGGTATATAATATGCACCCTGTTCTGAAGGTCTCTTAGGGAGAGAAAAAAAAAGTTTAAACTGTCTTCCGGCGTGACGATTTATATTATGTTCAGCGATGTCTACAACGTGCAGTTTGTGTGCAGCTGTGTCGCTCTTTTAGCTCCGTCCTTTTTCACTTTCGGGAGTTTGCACTTCTTCTAGCTACAGTACAATAGTTGAGCTCTCAGCCTGCAGGAAAAGTTGTGAGGCACAGACTCCTAGCTTGCAAGTTGCGCTGCCTGACTCCGCTGGTCACGCTTTAATTTTAATATAGGACTCTTTCAATCAAAAGAGTACACCGCAATATTTATTTACGGAAACATTTACCACTGTTTTCTATAAATGCATGATTATGACCTCGTGAGGGAGAAAAGATGTGAAAAAAGTCACGCAGCCAGACTGGTCTGTGTCGCCGTCTTTCACAGCACAGCGTGCACTCAGCTTTCAATGCACAATGAATGGGGATGGGTTTTTAATCGCGTCAGGTTGCAGTTAGTGGCTGCTGCACCCGCTGTAATGACGGCGCGTGTTTCAGTATTTTATACTGGTGTATTGGTAGCACTGGTGTATAAGACGCAGCCAACTTTTAATATGAAAAAATAGGTATTAAAAGTGCGTCTTATACACCAGATTTTACGGTAGAACAAAAAAAACGCATACACCGGTCATTGGCACTGATATAGCATTTAAACCAGTATTTAATCATTCAGGTTTTCACTTGATATTTCTGCCCGTGATTAAAAAAATAAAAATAAAAATCAAGATTCCTCCTCATAACAGACATTTGTTGCTCTGCAAGAATTGTAACTTCTCCATGTTTTGCTTTTCTTCTGACTGAATAATAACAGGGCTTAATGGAAACTCAATGAATCTTATCAATGAACTTTGAAAGAATTTAAGTTTTCATCTCATTCATAGTAAACATGTGAAGTCAAGATTAATAGTTAAAGTACTTACACTTTCATTTGTATTCAGTGAAAAATTGATGTCTGATATTCTATCAAAGGGAATACTGTAAGGTTAAAGAGAACAGAGTTTAGTTTAGTTAGAGTCGTTAGGCATTCACATAGATTGTAACTCAGACAGGATCCAGCACATACTGTAGCTGTAACACTTCCAGTTTCAAACAGGTTTCTCACCCCATGCCAGGCTCATGAGAACAGAAACATACTGATGAAGACGCATGTTTTTTTATTGACATTGTTGTTCTTAACATGCATGTTGAAAACTGATCAAAGAAAAGCAAAAAGAGAAACTGTACTCTACGGAAAATAAAACGATGGCAGAGTTTCCCAAAACATGACATCACTGAGCAGCACTTGTTTATTTCCCTCTGCTTCCAGTTTTAGCCCTGGACTAAATCACTCTTCTATAACCTCATTGCTGATTATGTTACTAAATATTTTACTGATCATCTTTTTCCAACATCTGTACAAAAAAGCTTCATGTAGAGCTTGCTCAACTCTACACAGCAAGATATGACGCTGTGTGTTCCCATCTGCAGGATAATATTCCCTCATTGAGGCCGGGGCCTGTCAACACTCTGGATCTGTTACTTTTGACAAACTTGGAAAAAATTATTTGAAAGACAAAAGCTCCCCTGTGTGCTGCAGTGCTCTAGCTGCTGTTTGTTGTTTGATCTTTACTGTGGTAATAGTTGCCAGTAATCATTCACTGGTAAAAAAAAATTTAAAAAAATGACATTGTTATAAATGTGTCTTAATGAACTAGAGATCTACTGTATGTTAGTGAATACTGTTCTGTTGAATGGTGTTATGCTGAAATGATGCCAAGCCTTAGGAACAGACCCAACACCCAATGAGAGGTCTTGATCATGGTCTTATAAATCTAAGCCAAAGGTATATTTAGAAAGAAAAAGGTTCTAATTCACCACACAAACTGACATTTTTAAATCAGTACCAGCTACCTTCCACAGCCCCCAGCCCCCAAGATTAAACCCCCGAGCAAGCTCATCGTAAAGGATGTATAGAGTGACAGGACATTACAAAAGCTGGATATGGTTTCTTGTTTCAAAGTCATATTTAGTCTTTTAAGCCACATCAAAAGGACTAAAGACATGTCTTGAATCAGTTTTAGCCATTAATTATCAGAAGTGACTGCTATCCGATCCAATCCTAAAATCCTTGGCGTTTAGATTTTATTGTCAACACAATAACTTACAAAAGAAATCAAACTGTTTTCCAGTTATATGCCATATTAATGAAGAGGATGGAGCATTTGTAAAAGCAGTTACTTCATATTTTATGCTATTTTTAAATGCAGAAAAGAAAAGCATCCTCCTCTCCACCACTACTAGCTTTGTAATGTCCTTACTGCCCCTTCCCTTCATTGTTACAGTTATACTTAGACAACAAGTCCAGTCATGCAGGATGAGTACTCACTCCGCAACATCGTCCTGATCAGCAAACTCTTCGTCATTGAAGCCGAACTGCTCAATAAAATTGGACGTCATTTGTTGCATCTGATAATCAGAAAAGGCCTGGCAAACCCAGGACCAACGATAATGATATAGTCTTGGAGCTACACAAATCTTGTCATTACTTGCAGTACAGAAAATAGCAAATACATATTCTGATCTGTGAAAAAACATGTTAACATGTAGAGTAGACAGGTTAATAGCTAAAGAAAAAGAAAAAAGAAAGAACACATGCATTTGCAGACAAATGCCAAAATGCTTTCAAATTAGTTAACTCTCTTTGAAGTAGCAATAATTTCAAATAACATTAGTCGTTAAGTAACTCAATTTAAAACATGGAATATATTAAGATGTGACTGTGCGGACACATAGTTACTAAATACATAAGGATAAGGATAAGGATATTCACGTGTGTGTTTAAGACTTACTTGTTGTAGAGAAGAGTCTTGGTGAAAGCCACTGTCTTTAAAGTCCACCTCGTCATCACTGGAAGAATGGATGTGGTGTGTATTCACCTAAAAAACATATAGATACATTTATTTAAGCAAAAACGGTTGGCTTTGAACTTTAAAAAAAATAAATAGTATTGCCTCAAATGTGCATGACACATCAAACTACTGAGCAGGCTTGGCTTTTGTGACATTATAAAAGAACCTGTTTTTTTTTTTAAATTAAGCTCCACTACATGCTGGACTCCAGAGACAACACAGTAAATAAAAAGTTGTGTCTGTTTTAATGACTGCATTATACATCCATTTTATAAAGTGACATTAATATGAAAGACAGACTTCAATGTGAAGGAGGTGACTCACCAGGTCAACAGTGTTTCTCTTGTTAGTGTCAGTCAGCTGCCCAGAAATAAAGGCCTCCCATTTGTCTCTGTCTTCTTCTGGGAGCTCTGTTAAACACACAAACAGAAGACATACCTTGCACTCCATCTATACAAACTGTACATTAACAAAAATGTTTGGGGACCGTTCTCTCAGGTCAATGTTAGATGCCACTGGTTATCTTAACGACAGGCTGTTTGCGCTGCTGCTGTCTGCTGAGTCTCGAAAGCAATACAGAAGTATCTGCTAATGTCCTACCGGACGACAGAGCAACCTCTGTGAGACTGCTCAAATCATCCTCTGTTTTTCAACATTAAAAATGCATTTTTCATGCAGACTAAAAGTGGCATCGACTTACAGTTTGTTTTGAAAATCCTGTGATACTGAAAAACTAAATGAATGAACCTTAAAGCTTGTTAAAAGAAAAACAGGCTTGCACAGACCTAAGTGAAGCAAAGCGATGAATCCACTAGGGGGCAGTGAAAAAAATAATATGTACGCAGATATATTGATTCAGTGGTTGATGGTATTTTTAGGTTCAGAGTCAATGGTCTTAAGGCGCAACACTATTTGCTATTGGCTGGTGGTATGTCAAAAAATGTTACCCCGCAAGTAATTAAATACTTTGACTTCAGAACTGACTTGAAGTCGACAGTCTAAGTCTGAGGATTGTGTACTTTACGTCTAGATTTAAGATTAGAGATGTTTATATTATCACTGTAGGTACAAATGTGGGATTTTTTTATTGCGAGATGGCTCTGTTTAAAAGGGTAAATATTAAATATAAGAAAGAAAAAACAAATCTATTTTTTTATAATTGATCCAAAATATTACAGAAGGGTTTCTTACTTTGTCAATGGACTGAGTGACCTTGGTTAGCAACTTTGAAGAGTGGGAACTATTTCAAAACATTGAACTAATAAGCTTAGACGTCTATTATGATAAGAGGCCAAAAGTTATCAGTTATAATCCAATTAAAGTCGGTTAGGAGTTAAAATCAGCTCCACATTCAGAAGCTGCAACAAGTAATGTACACAGTTATGCACTTACAATTATCTGGTGGTATGAAATACAACATAATCAATTACCTTGGGTGATGTTACTTTTAAATTGGATTACTTTGGCTAAACTTGGGATTGGACCACTTTGACATTTATACTTTTTCTTCAATAAAAAGGGCACCTACAAATGGGGCCCAACCTCATTTATTTTTCTTGAGAAATTCAATTTGTATCTGCATTTAGCGAGTGGTCAGTGCTAATTTTAGACCCTGCTGCCACATATTATGATTATGTCTTATTGAAAAGACAAGCATACTGTAAAGTGGATCTGAAAGGAGTTCAGAGCTCTATAAAGCCTAAGACAGAAGGGTCTCCTTACCAGAGATGAGCTGTTGTATCTGGGGTCCATTAGGGCCTTTGTCACAGTTGTGAACTATAGAATTGGCTATTCTGGTTAGGTGACCCATGTAGCCTCGTCGCCGACCACCTTCAGCCCTAAAAAAAACAAAAAAAAAACACATTAATACAATCATGAGGACCCTCCATTATGAGTACCAGTAACAACTTTCCAACTAATATGATCCCCTCACTCTTGTGAAACATGACCAGAAGTGATCACAGTAAAGGAGCAAATGGCTTTACAGACTACTCTGTTCTACTTAAATGCCAGCACAATAAAACACTGTTGGACTCTGAAAGGTGACTTATTTACAGCAGAGGAGAATACTTACTGTTCTTTCTCATTGGAGCTCCAGGCGTCTACGATTCTCTGAATAAACTGGCACTTTTGAAACAGCTGTTTGTGAAAAAAACAGGCAACAGGGAAGTTAATCAAAACTAATTTATTATGCCCATGACGTAGTTGGTTGATGACAAAACCAAATAATACCAAGCCTTCACTAACTGACATATCTGGTATTACATTATTGTTGCCTTCATCAAGCCTTGAAATCAAGTGATTATGCCAGAGTGTACTATACTCAGATGTGTGTGGATATGTGATAAACCTGTAACTAGTTTCTGTCACTATCATAACATATGTCCAACTCTACAATATATTAGACATTGGGGCCCAATACCACAGCCTTAATGCTCACTTGACCTCTTTGAAGCAAACAATTGTTATGGAGCTTGTGGCAAACCAAGACCACAGTGTTACTAATGATGTCTGGTGTCCGAAAGGGTTTATAGAAGTGGTAGTGCAGAGAATGTGCAGCTACTATCTGTAGACCAGTCTACTCTACACTAACATTTGGCATTAGTAAAAAAATAAAAAAAAAAAATACAGGCTTTCTGAACAATGCATGACTTAATCTTTTACACTGCACAATACCACGGTCAATCAATGAAGAAGTTATTGCAACTAGTGCAGAGGCAGTCCATAATAATGATGACGTACAACCTCTGCTATCATATCTAAAAGCAGACATGGCTGTGTCTGAAGAGCTTTTTATCCTGGAGCTTAAGATCATTTCATCAAGAATAAAAACAAGGCCCGAAAGCTCCATGAGGCTTTATCCACCCATTGCTGCAATGAACAGTTCAGCTTTGCATCAGCTTTCATGATCAGGAATTAACTTAAATGTTTACACTGACTGTTGAGTTGGAGAACACATATATATTTAGGGCTGTAAATGTCACTCTTACTCTGGTTGTTGGAGCTTACATGTTTGATAAGGATGCTTTCCCTTGCATGTTCTTGCTCTGTGTCTGGCTGGGGGTCAGTGGGAGCAGGAGGCATAGCCAGGATCATGGCTGTACAGATCTCCACCTGAATGTGGAGGAAGTTGTTCCAGATGTATTTAAAATACATATCCTGTGGAGAGAAGAAAAAAAGTGAATTAATAAATCCTTCTCATTAGTTATAATCCCATTATGAGTGTTATTTTGCTTCCAATATCTGTGGTTTCAGAAACGGTAACTTGTTCTTATGTGTAGATCAGCGAGTTTACTGATAACTTCAATAGATTCTGAAAGTTTTTGGGATGCTTTGCCACATTATCACATTTTATAAAGTTGTAGTCATTTGTGCTACATGTATTCAAACTCAAACTCAATCAAAGGTCAAATCCACTAAATGATCAAACAAAACAAAAAAATATATATAATAAATGCACTTGTGTTTAAAAGGGTCAAAAAAAAAAATCGGTAATAAAGGGATGTCAAAGTTAGAGCTGCAATTCACTATTTCATTTATTCTTAGTGGAACTGTTTCAATAAATAAAACAGAACATAATCCGAAATCAGTGAATACCATTAAGTACTCTTTCCAACCTTATTCTTGCACTCTTCTAACCTGTCAGCTTTAAGTGATTGCATTTTACTGTAGTTCTTTCCTTCCATCCTTTACTGGCCTACTATCTGTAAAGACACACAGCACATTCACAAACAGCAGTACTCACTAGTATGACTCCCAGTGTGTTGAGGTTAATGAGTTCTGTGTTGATGCTGTGTGTGTTGCTCTGCAACAGGCTGGCCACCAGTCTGACCACATTCAGCCTCGTGTTTCCCACAGGGGGGTCCAGTACCCCCCATGTCGTCTTCATCATATTCCTCTGTTGGTAGAGAACAAATAAATAAATAGATCACAGACAGGAATATATGCAATATTGATACAGGACAATACATCACTTTTATCTCTGCCACAGTGTGTGTGCATACACTATGTGTGTGTTAGTATATGCATGTGACTCCTGTGGAATAGTTCACTTTTTGCTCTGTATTCTTGTGGTAACAGCAGCTGAACTGAGTCAAGAAAAAAATATTCATGGGGACAATAAAAGTTTGTCTTGCATATAAGTTAAACATAAACATCAGATTGTGGGTAAATAACATTAAATTTAATCAGTTATCAATTAGATGTGAAAGAAACGTGGACACCACAATCATGTACATTTGATATATCAGAGATTCTGTTATTAAATAACACCTTGAGAACTCTGAGTGGTTTTTACCTTTGGGGGCTCCAGTAGCAGCTGGTGAAAGTCTTTAAGTCGGGGTCTCACAGCCTCCAGGATGCTGTGGTTGACTGAGAATGAAGGATGGGACATCCCAGGGGGACAATCCATGTGACCCTCAAACCTAAAACAGGATACACATGGCCTGATGAACTAGCTTTACAAACTTAATGTTGTAGCAGAAAGTCTTGGAAGCATGTCGGCCATGCTTTCCTTGCCACTAAAGCAGGGGCAACACTTCTGGATATAATGGTGTGCTGCTGGGGATATTTCAGACATACATGAAAACTGTTGTGTGAATTCAAAATGTATTCATATTTAATATGTTAAAGAATTTCTAACAAATTAGTTTGGTGTTCATATGATCACAGTTCTTTTAAGTCTCTACAGAATTGTCCATTGTATGATTCCTATCAGCAGTAGTAACATCAGGTGTGGTCACTTTGAGCTTTAAAGGATCAGGTTTTGTTTGGGCTTCTTTATATCCAATTGAATGACTGCTTTTTTCTGTCACACTTTGTTCTTCAGCTATGACTTAATAAAGCAGTAATCTGTGAAATTCAGTCCATTCACTCATCAATCAAACAACTCTCAGTTTGGGCCAAATTATATTAAATTCTATTTATAGTATTATATTATGGTAGTAAAGAGGTGTTTTGTTCTCTTTCCACATGCTTCTAGAAACTCATCACCACGTGTTAAATTCAAAGCAAAATAAAATAAATAAATAGAGGCAGAGGCCAGAGGACGTACGCTGGTCTTCTGGTCTCAAACAGTGTGAGGAGGATCTGGATAACGCTGACAATAGCAGATTCATTTTTCTCCTTGTCAAAGATGTTCCCCAGCAGCTGCTCCACCGTCTCTTGCCTGAGGAGGAGGAGGACACATGAAGATGAGAACATAACCCTCTCAGTTATAATTGATCTGCATGTAGGGCTTTTATTGGCTCAAAATGAGGCTTGGGTGGTACCCCTCTAACCTTGTACACATGCATGTGTACTGTGCATACAGGCTCAACCCAACACTTCTAAAGCAATGGGATCTAATAATGGGGAATTTAAAACGGCCCACTTCTCAAATTAAAGCCTTTTATTATATACAAAATAAATGTCTGTTCATCTGTTCAAAATTTAATTCAATAAAACATTAAATATAATGTGTCAGTTTACACTTACAAAAAAATTAAATTAAATGTTAAGTGTTTTTTTTTCTTCACACTTGAAAAAAAGCATAGAAAGCATCTCCCTCCGTGGAAAACGTGTCACTTATTCTCCTTGCACGTTTGGCACCATTTCTGGTGCACAGGACTTATGACACAGCGTTGCCACCACATCAGCGTAACGCTGTAATTGCAGCTAAAAATACAAATTCAGATTACTGTCTTTGGAAAACTGTGTTCTTCATGTATCACTGGGGCTGGGGATGGTACGAAATATGTCAGAGAGGGGCGATACAAAATATGGTGGATGGGGCTTTCAAGTAATTTTATATGTACGAAAAACACTAGCATGTTGTCATGAAAAACCTAGGAGGCAAAGATCAAAATATCTAAATCTATTATTATACAAAAAAAATGCTGAGTAAATTAAAAAAAGGAAGTAACTTTACTAGAATAATTAGTAAAATAACTTGAGTATGTATGAAGGCTAAGGTCAAGGTAAAAAACTGGATTATTAAACTGATTTATTCTGTTTAGTCATGACTCAGATTCTTTGTAGAGAAACAGATGCTTACTTTTCAAGTGTTGCCAGAAGTGGGTCGGGTTCTGAGCAGCCCTGGACCTGGAACATCTGGTCTCTGCTCAGTCTGATAATCTCACACAGGGACTGGGAGGCATTTGAGTGTCTCTGTATAAAGAAAAGAAGACAAATAGAATAAATATGACTTTGAACCATGAGCCTTTGGTTTGAAGTGTAAAACACTAAAAGTCGTTATAGCTTGAGGTCTTAAATTTAATAATCGGCCCAATGGCCCTGTGCATGGCTTGAAGTGGGCAAAAAAATTGCCAACCACATATTTTGAAACATTTATAACTATTATGCTTCCAAAGGTCCCATGAAATCCAAACAGAACATTCACTGGTTCAACAGGAGCCCATAGATGACTGACTTCCTGCCGGCAAATGAAGGAAACAGAAAATTGTGCTTGATACTCACATCCTCATCTTGAGATGGTTGCACCATGTCCACCAGTCTCTGAATCACCTTCTCTTCATTCAGCCACTAAATGACATTTACCAGAGCAAAAACAGAGAGGCCTCACTTGGTGATGTGTCAGTGAAGAACAGCAGCACACTCTAAATGTTAATTGTCCTCTGTAAATGTTTCCTGAGCAATGCCAGATCAAAATTGAATTTGCTGGTCCGTTGCTTTGGGTTGTAATGGTCCAAGGAACCATTTTTAACACAGCCAGAGAAGTGTTATTCTGATACTCACATTGAGAACATCCTGCCGTAGCTGCTGCGGTTCGATGCAAGTGAGCATTCTGAGCAGCAGGTCCATGATGGCAGATGTCCCGATGTGTTTGATCATCAGGTCTACGAAGTCCTCCTGCTTTCGCAGAAAATCCACGATCTATTAAAAGAGGCAAACAATCAATAAAGGACCTCCAACCAGTACAGGGGATATACTGATGTTTCTTCTCAGTCTCCTGAGTTCATAAGAGGTGTATTACTCAGAGAAACATCATTACAAGTGATATTATGTTTTAGATTTTACAGACACACAACACCCTGGTCTTGCTGACTAACCTGTTCAGGTTTGCGTCCTATAAGAATGGAGAGGACCTTCGAGAAGAAGCTGGCGAGTAGTGGGTTGAGCGGCGGCTCATTCTGGAGAAACCCGTATAGCTTCATCAGCAGTTTTTCATCTTCTCCCAGTCTGTCATTGATCTGGCCCACATCTGATGTAAGCAGCTCACAGGATATGTTGGGATACCTGATAGACAACAAACGCCACTCTTAAATGTGTAGATCACATTACTGTGATGAAAAGTCAAGGTGACAAATACGCTGACTGCTCTAACAAACTGCTGGTCAACGCTAAGAATCATTAGGAGGGGAAAGAGTCAGAACAAGTGGCAGTCATATGTTAAAAAACATCCAAATTATGAAGACTTTGTTCCCTTTTCTTTTAATATTATGTAGAGACTAATAAAGGCTACAAAACCTTTAAGTTACAGAGGCTTTGTGTCTGAATAGTACTAGCAATAGTTATTTGAGTATCCTTGCAGTAAATCCTCATAAATCCCTTTGATTAATACACCAGTCTGAAAGCCTTTTTTCACTTGTGATTTGATCACCTAAGATTCATTTTGTGTATATATCGGCACTGTGATCATCTTAACTCTATTCTGTGGCAAAAGTCAAAACAAACATTGTGGTGTTCTTGATTATAAAATGTAATACTTTACATTGTTGATCAGCCTTCCTCATTATGGTATGATTACAGTATTAGCAGAAAATGTAAAGGCAATGACTGTAAATCACAGCAGTGACGGTTAGGAGAAATAAAAATGACACATTACTGAACAGACACAAAGCAACATGAAATACTGAGCCAGAGACTGATGTGCTCACAAAAACTAAGTGCCACTATTATGAACATTAAAACAAGGGGTGGATGTTCTTTTCATATACAGACAAAAGAAGTAATACATTGTTTGTACAGAGAGCGTAGAGCAGAAAAATCACCAACAAAGCAGATTGAAGGAGGAGGATGAGACCAAAGTAGACAATGCAAGATATTTCACTTAATCTGCTACTAGCTGAACATCATCAAAATCACACAATAGCAGAGAGCAATTCCTACTGCTGATGCTGTAGTTACAAAAAAAACATGCTTGTACATATGATTTAGTTAAATGTCACTTAAAAGTAAAAAGTCCTCTTACTTGTATTTAACTTTTTCCTCAACATCAGTACAGGGTTCCTGTGTGATGTAGGTGACAAGGTCCTCCATGCACTGTGGTCTCAGTATGAAGTCAACCAGTTTATGATTCTGGGCCTTGCACTCCTGCAGGACATCGTCCTCATCCATTACCTCCGTCAGCGTCACATCCTCCTTCTCTAAGAGTGTGTCTATGTGCGACGTAGTGTGGAGGTCAAACTTCCAAAACATTTTGGCTCTAAAACAAACAACATGAGTCATAAGAATAAACACAAAATGACATCTCATACCTGGGGTTATCAGGATATATAAAAGATGAGTTTAATGATTAACTGAGGGATTATTCTTCTCCCTACCTGCGGGTATATTGGGAGTCCAGAGGGTGGAGCTCAGGTTATAAAGAGGTGTGTTCTAGTCTTTGGGAGTTGTGGCCCATTCCAGGCTAGCCGGATGGACAGACAGGCAGACTGTGGTGATGGACAGACTGACAAGCAGCACACATACAGCAGTTCAACAGCATACACCTGGGAGGGTAGATACAAAAACACATGGATAAAGGTTAACAATGGAAAGTTCCACTGCTATTTGAGCATTTTTCTATTTGTAATTACAAATGGCATAACACTGACAACAATAAATGAATGTGCTTATGTTGCCTGCCACATACAGGCTTGGTGTTGGCTCTGCTACCTGTCTTCACAGCAGGTTTTCCAATATGTATACATTTTATTTTTATGAAGCAGTTCTCAAGTTAAGAATGGTCAGGGGTTAAAGATGAATGAGATATTCTTATTTTTTTAAACTGTTTCTCCTATGAATACATGTAGTTCCAAATCATCGACAATCAATTCAAAAGTGGCAGAAACTAAATATTGAGCACACACTTTCTTGAACACGCCACACTCCTGGTGGGCTGCTATGCTTTCTGCAGAGTGATTATCAATTGTGATTGCAGCTTGTACTCCGGCCTAATAAACACTAACAGCTAACAGAAGATGTGTCCATCCAGATAGTTTAACAGGAGAAAAACTAAGGTGACCATTTTCGTGAGGAGCTAGTTAATCTTCTCTGCCCTGGTGGCATCAAAATGGCACATTCCAACAGTGCGGGTTAAAGAGCTGATTAGAGATCACGTGTGATCTGTTTTCTCTATTTTCTACTTGTGCTTGACTAATGGCTTATCACTGAAGTACTGTGTTCATGGTAATGATTGCATTTTCTTTTGTATTTTGTTTAGTTTGTCAAAAATGGTTCAAAACACCACCTTTATGCTGCCCGTTGCCACTCTGTCAAGTTGGATAAATTGGGGATTAGATAGAGATGTCTGACAGAAAAAAACTTGCCTTGTTATCGGCTGCTTTAATGAATATTCTTATATATATGGTTCCTTAACGTTATTTATATATTTTTTACAATGCCTTTTCCAATATGAAATTGCACCCTATTGAAATGGAACGGGGGGTTTAGTTATTATATTAATGAAATAAACACTATACTTAGTATTCAAACATTGAAATAAACAAAACTGTGCACTCAAGGACTCATGCCTAACACTAGAAAATATAAAAAAAGGTTGCCAAACTATTCCTAGACTATGCTATAGCTTTTCAACCCTTAGTAAGAGAATAAATTAATATTAAAATACTTTTTTTCCATGGACACCCTCTTAAAGCTAAGTGTGTGCTCTGCAGATGTGTTAAACTTTTCTTTTTCTTTTTTTTAAAGTCAAGTTTGACACTTTCTGCAAGGACATATAAGAAATTGTTGATTACATTGTCAGGAACAGAAGGAAAAGACCTACTGTTCAATAAAGTAGACAGATACTGACTTTTTTCCCCCCAGCTTTATGCAGTAACATGAGTTAAAACAGCTAAGCTTTACAAGAAAATACAAAGCAGGATATTAAAATGTGTTTAAATCTAGGCAGCGTTTTCAGCTTCAAGCAGATTTCTATTTACTTGTTTATGTTTGTAAACTCAGTTTTGTTCTGTTGACAGCATGTTGTGCACATTAATGCATAAGACACATTCCCACTTATATTAAGGAAGAATCAGATAGTATTGCAGCAACAACTCAATAAAATAACAGATGCTTGCTGGTATGAGATTAAAGACACTATGACCTCCATTTACAGTCATGCCATTTTTTCTGTAGTTTATCCCTTTTATTTGTTTTTACTGGGCAACATCATCCACCACGTTTTTAACACTTACTTTGTTGAAGTAAATTCGTGTTAATTACTTAATTAGCCTCCACGTAGAGCGATATGCGCGAGGCAAAACAACAATACTGTACAGCAGACCAACAAAACAAACTTTTGCACTGGGCCATGATCCGCTGTCACAAGACCATAACAAAATCATTTACAGACATTTACAGGCTAAAGCCAGGTAGTTAGATTGAATTGTAAACTCCGTAAATACGTAGTTATCCTCAGTCCAGAAGGATATCAGCGTTTTCTTATCTAAATCGACACCGCTTTAACAGCCACATACACGGGTTCATAACACGGTTCAGCAGCTTAATCTGAAGCCGGACAAATAAGCAATTCTGAATTATATTGCAGTAATTTAGCAACCAAAAATAACAGGGATCAGCTTTGATGTTTGTCAAATCTTCTCAAATTACACCAGAACCACTCGTGAATAATCGTGAATGTGGTTATGTTTAGGTGAATCCAACAGCGCCAGAAAGTCGTCAGTAAAATGCATTAAAACGCCGTAATAAAAACGTTTAGCGAGTCCAGATAATTACTGGTTTATAGATTGTAACACAGACTAACCACATTTGCATTTCGCATGTCGAAACACTACGTTTACAGTACCGTCAGGTCATTAACATACCGGGGCCCAAAACACCGCTAACGCAGCAGAAACACACCGGCACAGGCAGACTGGTAGCTTAGCTATTGTTAGCTAACCTGGTCACTTCACATCAGGATCAAACTAAACGTGAGGAACTACGTCAGCGAGATGGAAGAAAACTGTTACTTAGCTGAAAGGTTAGACATCAATAAAACATGACGGAACCTCACAGCACTGATATTTCCCCTCTACAGGAGAGAAGTGTCTGACAGCAGTAAGATGGTGTGTTTCTTATAGCCAGCTAACGTTAGCCGGCTACTGAAGACTGCTGGCTAATCTTCAGCACCAACCAAGTGCATGGCAAGTGTACCTACCGATAAACAGCGGTAAACGACGAGTCTCCAGGATGTAGCTTATGTTGCCATTAGCCCCCGACCTTAATAAAACGAACACGGATATTACACGGTGTTCCGGCAGAGAAAATAAAGCGTTTAAAACTGATTCTGACAGGCGCGAAAAGGGAGATCATCGGAGGGCACTTTTCAAGATGGCGGTTCCGTCAACTTCAGCGACCCCCTTCCCCCACTACAGCCACAGCGTCTGTCACTCAAACTGTCCGAGCTCACCGATTGGCTGTCTTCCCCGTCGCTCAAACCAGGCCTCGAGGTTCCATTGGCTGCAGGATATGCCCGCTTTATGGTGTCGCTTGATCGAGGTGTATTATCATGTGAACCGGAAGAGCGGAGTTTATAATGGTTTGTCAATGTAGTTATTAAGTAAAAGGCAGTTATTAGTCGAAGGAACGCAAATGTGTTAGAGTGTATAATAATTGCTATATAACCGCATATGTTCGGCGTACGGCTGATGTATAATCTTAACCCCGCTCCGCATGTTTGCTTTGCATATTAAAACGAACCGAAGCTTTAGTATGAGCACACCCGTAGTCCTACAAGAAACGCCTTTTTTACTAAAGGTGCTGGATCATATGCTGACATTGAAACTGTAATGTGCTGGATACAGGAAAGTGGACATGTTTACACGTTTGATAAATTCGCCATTATGCAATAAAAAAGTTATCTTCTCTTGTCATGCTTAACAAGTACGCTATAAACTTGGGTGTACAATGAGTACAAGGGTTTTGGGGATGTTTTTTTTTATTATTCCCATTACGTCAACAAAACTGAAAAATGAAGCTTAAAACTGAAATAATGGAAGAGCTTTTTCACCTTTTTTACATTATATTGTAGAGGTGTACATAAAGAAATTACTGGACAATGCAACACAATATGATTTAGCTTATTTTTTATCTGTGTAGTTGATTTTGCCTTGAAGTTGGGCAATCAAATATAATATCACTTATATACAAATAAAATCAATTCTTGCAAGCAAGCAAAGACATTTTCTAATTTTTTGTATATGCGGTGCTTTTACATTCTCAAATTTTCAAGGCAATAGTCAAATCAAGACCAGAAAAGGTTTTCTCTCTGTGATGAGATAAAAATAATCCTTTATTGATCCCCAATGGGGAAATTCAAGTGCTGTGGCAGTAAAAGACAACAACAAGAACATGCATATGAGTATTAATAAAATTAGAATATATATAGGAATACAATTAAAATAAAGATTAAGGTACTACGTATTTAAAACTATTATAAGCAAGATGTCTGTCAGTGATAAAGAAGACAGACTGTAGGACCCACTGCTGTTGTACAGTCTGATGGTAGTATAGGCACAAAGCAGTGCCTGAAGCGCTCAGTTTTGCACCTGGGGGGATGAGTCGATGGCTGAAGGAACTTCCCATCTGCCACAGCTCATCATGGAGAGGGTGAGAGGAGTTGTCCAGGATGGCTGTGATTTTGTCCCTCATCCTCCTCTCAGCCACCATCTCCAAACTGTCCAGTTCCAGGCTAACAACAGAGCTTGCCTTCCTCACCAGCTTGATGAGGCTGCTACCATTTTTACTGCCACCCCACCAGCACACCGCAGCAAAGATTGTGCTGGCCACACAGACTGGTAGAAGGTGTGTATATTTTAAGCATTTGAGAGGTTGGATACCACCTGATGAGCTAAAAAAATTAGCTCATCAGGTGGTATGTTTTCACAAGGAGTTGTATTGCAATTCCCAGGGTCATCAACATTTGATTCTTAATTGACTCAGTTTGTGGTCCTATAGGAACTGTCTTAATGACACATTTGTGTTCAAGTGAATACAGACCGGTATACATACAGAACATAATATCAGAAACATTTTCACCTTTTAAAAATTGATATAGGCCTACTTGCATGTTACCCTCCTGAATTGGGCATAATACCAAATGATGAGGTATGTTGTGATGAAAGGGTTGTTAATAAATCTCATGGTTCTTGAAATAAGTATGCACAAGTAAGAAAAACATGTCATTTAATATAAAATCTTGTATTTACTGAGTTTGAATAGGGGACATTTAGATTTTTAATAGCACAGGATAAAGTACAAATGTTCACAATAACAACTCAGTAGTTGTCCTGAGGGTCAAAACACAGCATTTAGGTACAACAACATGTCAGTTGTTTCTTCAACAGGTGATCAAATACAACCCACTCCACCTCTGGAGCCATGAAAGATACTGGTCCTCTCTTATCAATCTGGTGTACAAACCAGGTATAGGAGAAAAGCTGTTGAGTAATGCAAACAGAGGATACTGAGTAACATTACAAATTTAAAATACAAATAAAAACAGCTACGAATAGGCCCAATTAATATGTAGGCTAATGCATATAGCCTATAGAAAAGTAGGTGTTGGCATTTACAAGCATAACCAATTTGAGAGGCTTCCAGGAAGTGTGTACACTCTCTCAATAATGTACATGCTGAAAACAGTTTACTTTACTCCCATTCATGCATTTGTAAAGCCTATTTGAATAAAAAATTAAGTTATAAAAAAGTTGGTAAGAGGTGTAAATGTTGAATCTTTTTTTTAAGTAAAGGAGTTACTCAAATATTTGATCTAAGGCAGCATTAAGGTTTATGTGAATATAATGAATAATGAACTTTTCTCAGCCTATTAGGCCTTAGTGTTTTGATGTGTTTTGATGCTGAGAGTGGACATTAATATTAAAAATAATGATTGATTACTACCTAATCATGACTGATTAGGGCTTTGATTTTTGGAGTCAACCTTCACAATTACAGTTTTCAAATTGGTTTGACTCACTCAAAATATATTTTCATTTGTTGCTGGAGAATGTACGGAGCCCATCCATGTCACCTCCAGGGCTCCGTAAGAATGATCTTCTATTTGAACAAAAGCAATTATGGTGTTTTTCTTTACTTTATACAATATTGAAAATGTCTAATATATAAAAATAAAATAATAATCAAGGCAAAACTTTTGTTATTATTGTGAAAAATGAAATGGATTTGCACTTCCTTCCGTCTTTCCCTGTGACACCTGAACGCAGCACTTGACTCGCACTAATCCTCTCGGTTAATCGCCTCTCGCCGGCCGGTGGGGGTTCAGACACCATGCAGTCAGCTGTGGGTGGAGACCAACCAAAGCGTGGACTGTATATCTGAGTGTCAAAGTGACGCACACACTCACACACACACACACAGGCTCCTGGTGTGACGGTGATTCAGGAGGAAAAGCTACAGAGTTTAATGGCGATGAAGATGGATTTAAATGTCACCATTGAGCAAATGGAGACGGGGGAGCAGGACGCTGCTCTGACAGCTCTACAGAGCTACAACAAGGAGGTAAACATCATTAGAAGAGAGCTGTTTATCAAAACATTAAGTTTGTCATCATTGTTTAATTACCTTTAGGTCAGCTACAAGCACAATTTAGATCATAAGTATTGCATCACCTTGCAGAATAGAAAGCATCACCTCTGTTAATAAGCATTAGCCAATAGCAAGTGTCCTGCAGCTAATTATGTATTACACAATTTGCCCTGGATTAACAGATGATTATTTATGATAAGCCTACGAGAGAAAACTGAAGATTTCAAAATTAAACTTTGAATGTTTTTAACTAAACCACTTTTAAAGATGCATTATAGTTCTTGCCACTTGGGGGCAGCAGAAAAAGAAACTCAACCCTGACATACTACCACTTTATAACACTAGGCTATTTACAAACGTGAGGTTACATTTTTCAAAGTCCTTTTTTTAGAATGAGTGTTCAAACCACTGTGATGTACAATTTATCAGTCATCGCTGGCCTTCATGGTGCTGTAAGGCCCGACACTGTGTCTCTCACTGAGACCAACCCAGATAGAAGTAATCTGGTCACAGTTGCTAAGTACTTCTTCTATTGTGTTTCCAATCTCATTTGTACATAATGCAGATGGCAGAGCATTAAATGTTCCTGACCGAACAGGTGTATCATAAAATAATAACAAGGTGTATTTTTTTTATGGATGTTTAGTTCAGATATTGACAGGCAGGAGACAGACTGGAAAGATCATGAGAGGGAGAAAGGACCTGGATCAGAATTAAGCCCTTTCAGCCAGAGCTTCCTTTGATTGTTCAAATGTTCACTTTCTCAGTATGAACGTGGCACATGTGGACAAACTGGGTCTCTTCTTTATTGCATTTCATTGCAGTTTGCGATGTTGTCGCACATTTTCATGTTGTGATGACTCAGAAAACGCAGTTTATTCAAACTAAAGTGTTACAGCCGTAGTCAGAATCTAACTGCCACTGCAATGAGGGATCAGCCTACGCTTGTGATGTGCACTTAACCAGCTACTTATACGCCTAGAACTTGCCTTTTTCAAGCACTATGAATTTTGGAAAAAGCAAAAGTGAGCACATAAACTGTAACCACATTTGAACTCAAGTCATTCATCGTTATGCTTTATTACAACTTTAGTTCTGTTTGTGTAATTTAAGCCTTTATTTCTACCAATGATCAAAACCAAAGCACTTTCTAAATTCTGATAATATGTTGAAATAGGAACGAATCAGCCAGTCATTGAGAGTTGGCTGATAAATCAATTTTATGGATTCATTTGACTGATTTGGTTGAAGATGTTTGAAAACTTAATTTCATGTTAAATTTGATAATAATGGTTTAGAGCTTCAATCGCTCCTGTAGCTACCATTAACATGACAATGTCAAAATGGAAGGCATGTTGGTACCAGGTGTAAACAGGTCTATACTGACATGCAACTCTCCTATATCTGCCACATTTACAGTTAAACATTATCTGGAGTTCTGGTGCTGCAACTGCATCTTACATCAACAGTGCAGACATTTTTTTAAATTGGCTATACATAAGATTTTTAAAAGTTTTTGTGAGTCTAGTAATGAAAGTCTGAATAGAACAACTCTGAATAATCTCACCTCCAGTTGTTTATGAAGGAAAACGTTTTCTAGTATATGCTGAAATCTAAAAGGAGCATTACAACATTAAGACTGCTCTCGTCTCCAAACTGGACCAGTCGTAATGATAAAAGAAAAATATTCATAAACAATCAAAAATGTATAGGAAAAACATGGTTGTAAAAAACATCTCATATGAGGAGTTTTAAATTGAATATGAATAAATGGAATCTACAAAGCAAACAAGACCATTACTATAATGATTTGATTCTTCTTCTATAGCTGTATGTATTTTTACACATGTACAAGATCAGAGATCAGACGGATCAGACGGATCAGACATATCGCTTTGTCCAAAAGGGGCGCCAAAATCAACACAAACCAAAAGTTCCTTACAGCTTTAAGTTGAAACATCCATCCATCATCTATACCCCTTTGGGGTTCTGGAGCCGATCCCAGCTTGGGTGAGAGGCGGGTATACCCTGGACTATCCACCAGTCAATCGCAGCGCTGACACATGGAGATAGACAACTAGCTTCACACATTCACACCTACAGGCAATTTAGAGTCACCAACTAACTTTACGAGCATGTCTTTGGACTGTGGGAGGAAGAAGGAGTACCTGGACAGAACCCACGCACACAGGGAGAACATGCAAATTCCACACAGAAAGGCCCTGTACGACAGGGATTCGAACCAAGGACCTCCTCGCTGTGAGGCGACAGCACTAACAATGCCTAAGTGGAAACACCTTAATGCTTATTAAAACAGTTGTTATGAAAAAATTAAAAAACATAAAATTCAACCATATTGGTAGACGATATGAAATATAGAAAATGCGTGTGCACATATGGAGACGTCACCCTACTGATGCATTGTTGACAGCCAGACAGTAATGAGCTGTTATTTACTCCTGTGAATCCATCTTAAAAACTATAAACTTTGAATATGAATGGACGAAGCTGAGTGACGTCACCCATCATCTGTTCCTGCAGGGGGCTTTGGAGTCTGATCGCTGGCTGTTGCCATGCTGGAAATGCTGTCTCACCCTAACTTTCAGTCAACCTAATGACAGGCGGGTTTTTAAGCCTCTTGACAAGCTGTTACATCGCGCCTGCCTGTCAATCAGGTCAGCTCCGTGCCTTATTGAAAATAACGTTTATCCTTCATAAAATCAAAACAGATGAGTTTCAATAATTCAACCGATGTACGGTGTGTGCCGAAAGAGACATGAGCTAATCAGACCTATTTCACTTTTTGAACCAGGCTGTATTATCAGTCCTGTTAATTTTGTGAAATAGCCTGTGCAACCTTGCTTCTTATGTGCACTTCAAACTTGTTCTTATCTTTTACTATTATATAGGTCGAAACTGCAGCGTGAAAAAAAGTGTGAAGGAGAAAAACACATTGAAAGTAGGTCGCACAGATCCATGAGACATCCTGCATCTAATTAAACTTCAGTTCCCACTAAGAGCTCAGCCAGGCGCCTTCAGTAATAACCCTGTGTAACCATCGCAACAACTACATGCTTCATCTTATTAACAGCGATGGTCATGGTGTTTCCTGAGGCTCAACATTATAATATCATTTACAGGTAGATGCTGATGAAATTGTAGTGATGATCCCACCAAAAAAAAGTGTGATTTGAAATATTTACATTGATCTGAGGATCCATAACAAATTCAGCTACTGATTTCCAGATTATCAGCAATTATTTTAGCATGTAGTATAACTTTGTATCAATATGTGAACTTATTGAGCACAGGATTTCCAACCTTTGTCATGACAGGGAGTGATCTTTGTTAGAGTTGCGTTTAAGAAAATAGAGCCTTCCACTTCAAAGAAAGTGTGCTTTGTGTGCTTAATTTGCCACTAGCCGTCCGCTAGCACCAGGTGAGCCCTGCTGCGTAAGAGACTTTTAGCTGTGTGGGAGTCGATCATGAAGGCAATAGGATTAGATTCAGTGATACACAAATAGTCTTCTACAGGCCCGTCAAATCCTACTGTAGCTCAGAGCTCTCTGAGAAGAGGAGCTTAGTGCTGCAGAGACTCTGCTGCTTAATCTGCATCATCTTTCTTTACTGATAAACCTGCCCCAGTATGTTCAGGTGTTTCTCTGCTGTCAGCTAGTCTGCTCTCATTCATTCTAAGAACCCCGTTGCACAGATGTAGATTAGTGGAAGGGATGCAACAATGCACAATGAATGACTTCATTTGGACTGTGTGCATTTTATTTTAATGTTTAGAGTTTTTAACATACATTATTATCACTGGAAATTCTGGATTCTGATTGGATGCTCATTGTGGGATCAGTTTTTTCTTAACCAATACCAATATTGCACACATTTTTATTTAACAAATATCAGACTCTGTCATCTATAATCAACATTGACTCATATTGATCAATATCGAGTTGAATCGATGGGTATAATGGCCATGTTTTGATACCATCTTAATGCCTTCAGATGAAGCTCAAGCTATCTGATAGCCACAGATTGAACAGGTGCCAATCAAGCGGTGAAAAGTAAAAACTGCTTTTCAGATTGTTTGAGGAGGATATAAATGTTTGTTGATTTATCTCACTTCATATCATAATAGTTATATCTCAAATTCGACTCGTACTTTTCCAATATCATGCAGACTTTTTACCTGGATAGTTTGACCTCTATGACATATTTTAATGTAGCAAAAATCACAAGTTCATATGAAGACATATCTAAGTGTTTGGATTTTTTAAATCTTTTTAGCTGATTTGTTTTTTCGACTCATAATACTCGATTGTCACCAGTCTTGTTTCAAACAACAGTAAGGATCCTTTTTTTAAGTCTCTGATACACATGCTTTACTCCCTGCTCCAAACAGTACACAGACACAGTTAGAGGCAAACTGCTGAACATAGTGCAGCAGTTAGGAGCTAATGAAAACAGATGTTTTCTCAGTGATGTTTAAGAACAAACAAGACCTAAAGGAAAGTGAATATTTGACACAAAACAACTCAATAACAATTCATGCTTATATATTTTTCTGTCAGGTGGCAGGTGGGCAGGAAACTCTATTATAAAATATATAAATGTATTTCTAAATGTGTGTTCTGCTGACCCCAAGTGAACAAGAAAAAACAATGCAACGGTAAATTAGATGTAGACTTGTTTAATGCTTCTATATAGCTCTGTTTTTGAAAGGGTTAGGGTTTTAAGTTTCAAATAGTTTTAAAGTTTTTCTTTTTTAATTCTTTGTTAAATAGAAAAATATATTTTCAGACCCTCTAAAACTTGTTCAAGTGGAAATTTTAAGCAATTTGTCGTTATGTTAAGTTTTCCTATGTCAGAGTTGTGATGCACTGTCAGCTGACACATTTTAAAAGAAATGCTGACAGCTGGAAACAACATGGACATGACAATGCTTTTTCAATGTTTCCTTCCTTTAGATGAACCAGTGCTTCACATTCATCGCAGAGGAGGAGCAGGACAGAGAGGTATAACTAACCCTTCAATCTCAACATTGACTCCAATATATTTCCTTCTGTTCATAAAATGACCCTTACTTAATGTCTTGAGTTGAAACAAGTTTCTCCTGATGGTTTCCTTTTTAGTCCGTTATTGTGGTTGATCAAATTTTTTTGCAAAAGAAGAAATACTTGAAGGTGTTCTTTTGAGCCTTAAGCTTTTCAGAAAGTTAAAATGTGGAGAACATGTGTTAAGTCTACTCTTCACTCCACTTATTTACCTTGCTGCTTCAGAGAAGCACTCACTAAATGTTTGAATTGGCAAAGAGCAACATTTTTTGCTTCTCTCTGAAAACAAAAGACAGAGTTAATCAGAGATTTAATTAATAAATGGCTTATTTCCCCATATTCAAAAAAATCACTATCATGTTGTAAAATGAGGATGATACAAGGAAATTAAGAAATTGATAAATTAAGACGGCACTTGCTTTTTCAAAGAAAAATGTTAAGCCCATTAGGACCACATGGAAAAGGTGATATGTCAAAAATTAAAAACAATTTCAATTGTTTTCATCGATAAAATCCCAAAACAGAAAAGACCTTTGTAAAAACTCTCCAGTCAGAGTATTATCCTGATTTTACTTCATATGTACAAATCTAAATTTGACAACCTCAACGCAGACAATGTCTGGTGACCCCCTGAGATCTTTGACGCACCCCTGAGTGGGGCCCGGACCCCAGGTTGGGAACTAATGCAATAGGTCATGCAAAGGATTAAAGTGACATCAAAAAATCCACCCAAATCATCACAACTGAACAAGTCAGACGAACCAAGAAAGCTGGAGAAGGATGTTCTATTGTTTATAGGGTTAGGGTAACCAACCCTTTTATATATTTAAAAATAGACCACTTATAGAAGCTGGTCATGTTTTTACCCCCCATCTTAACACATTGTGAAAGTGAAAAATGATAAAAAGGTTGTGAGTCTAAACTGTCAGAATGGCCAGGGACAGGACACTAACCATGTTACCTTGCCTGAAAGTCAAAAGAAAAAAAAATTGCCCATTGCTCTGGCCTAACATGCAAAAACGTGTCAAAGTGCCCTCCAGGTGCCCTTCCAGTAAAGAGAACTTTCTGCCCCGCTCTCACAGACGGTGTGAGTCTGTGAGAGTCTGTGAGTATCTTCCAGGGTTAAGATTAGTTCAGGTGCAGCTTATGTGCCTTTGCGTGTCTTCATTATCCTACAGCCATGTGCACAAACTCAACATATCTGCACTCCGACTGCAGGAAGACATTATGCAAGACATCTCAGCAGACATATTTATCAGTGTCACAGTTAGCGCCTGCACTGGGCTCAACATCAGCCAGAAATCACAGGTGACTCTGAAACTGTTTGAAATGTCCCTTTACTGACAGAGAGTCACAAAGTCCTATTTTAAGCCTCATATTCCCTCTCGAAGGGCCTCTGTGTCATAGATAATTCATAATGTATGTAAAATAGTCAGACAGGGAACAGATTGAATGCAGCTTATACTCTGGGAGTTCACGGCTCCTGCTGCAGAGAAAATGATGCATTACGTCAAGAGATTAAAACTCACAGACTCATACTGCTGAAAAATTCATTCGTTTTTGTTGCAGTTTTTTTATAATATTAAAACTGAACGTCGCATAAGTTTCACAGATTGACAGATTGAGAGGGAGTTTATGTAAGGATTCAAGTGTATGAGACTGCTCTTTTTCACAGTGTTTGTGATGTGTAATACCATGATGTAAGCCAGGGATTCTCAAACTTTTTTGGCTTGTGTACACGCTTTCAGAATTTCTTTCAGCCAAGTACTCCCTTGTCCGGCCAAGAACATTTTTCGTCTTCCACCTCATTTTCCCCAACTGATTTTATCTACCTCGTTTCAACAACTTGTTCATTTTTATATTCCTGGCCGAGCTCTTGTTAGCATGCAAATGTATGTGCTTGCTCGCTGAACAATTCACGTCAACAGGCGGGAGGCCCTCTGGTTGAAGCGGCTCCGCACATAATGCAAGCTGTATTATAAATGAATATCCTCAAGTTGGAAATACTGCCCCTATTTGATGTTGCACAGAGAACATGTGCTGTTAATTAAGTTGTCTTGAATCAGTGTATGGATTTTCCTATAAATCATTCGTTTGGCTTTTACACTTGCAACTTTTTTTAAATTACATTTGTCATGTACCCCTTGCAGTACTCCCACATACCCCTAGGGGTACACGTACCCCAATTTGAGAAACACTGATGTAAGCAGTGTTACTTTTGTAACAGGTACACATCTTTCTTGTGTACCATATAAAGAACAAAACCCCAAAAATAAATACACAGAAATCCTGTTGAATACATTGAGGTCTAACCTGATATATTTTCTGCATCACAGCGTCTGGGTGAGTTGGTGCTTGGCTTCCTGAACAGGGAGTTGCAGCCTTCCTGTCAGCTGGCCTGCTTAGAAACAGTTCGAATCCTGTCCAGAGACAAAAACTGCCTGAATCCTTTCATCAGCCACTCTGCCATGCCACGCTCGCCGGCTACGCTGGCATCGCTGTTGAAAGTTCTGCCATATCTGAGTGCACCCAGCAGGTGGAGGGCCAAGGTAAGTCCCCTTTGTGCTGCTCCTGTTTAGTTGTTTGTCCCATGAAAGGCCCTTGAATCCCCTGTTTTTCAAATACATCATTCCACTTTCTGAGTCCGAAGCATGTTTCCTCAATTCAGCAAAAATGTTTATCTAGTTTTACAACTATCCAATGTTGGGATTCTGTATTTGGCTCTGAACGCAGTTTAAACTATGGGTGACCTAGGCTCAGTACTGTCCCTGAACAGCATGAGTAGACACAGATGGAGGAATGAAGCACATGGTTATCCTATGAAGCCTGTGTGGACATGATGTACAAACATCAATATCGCTCTGTTTCATTACATGACATTTTCCAGATACATTTTTCCAAAAAGCAGACATGCAAACTATGAGAAATAAAAAACTGTATTTGATGATTTAGTCACTGCGACATCACCCTTTTCTTCGTGAGCCACTGACTTACAGTAAGTCTTCAGTTTGTCAATTTGGCCATCACCATGTTGTTGTTTTTTCTGACATGGAGAAGCATTTGGGGTTAGAGGATGGAGCAGGAGAGAAGTGAGGAGAGTTTTAAACAAGAGTCAGGGCTAGCTTGGCTTGCATCAGTAATTCAAGGCAACTGTGACATCATTTGGATTCTAATTTTAGCTAGTGGAAAAAAATAAAATAAACAAAATGTACTTCTTGAAGATAAGCCAAAACGATCCCTGTAAGAGAGAAGGTTCAGGACACTTCCATATATGATTCCTTTTTGAAAACCAGGAAGCTTCGTTCACTGTCTCTTGTTTGTAAAACTATGTTACGAAGTGGACACATTGGTGAACAATACAACGATGGTTTAATCATACCTCATGAATTGTATCTTGATTCAGCTTTGACTTACTCTGATTACTGAGAGCAAAATGAAATCATCTTCTTTCTCTACATCCTAATGAACAAAGAAAGAATAATGAGTCAATTAGCAGTCCCTTCACTTTTTATGAGTAAAATGGTCTAAATATAGGTTGATGTATGACTCTACTTTGCTGACATTTCTCTTCCCAGAGGAGGGTGAGGGAGGGGAGGAAGAGGAGGTGAGAAAGGAAACCTCTCAACCTTCAGAAAACGCTGACCAGGAAGTGATCTCTGAGGCTCTGAAGTCTATCTGTAACATCCTGCTGCACAACCACACAGGACAGGTCAGTATGCAGAGCTACATTTATTAATGGATCAATGAATGTGTGGCTGAATTTATGGACTAATGCATTGATGGGGATGTCTAATGGATGGATTTCAGGTGGTGGCAGGAGATTTGCAGCTGATAAAGGGTGTGGCAGAGAGGCTGAAGCAGAGTCATGATCCCACCTGGAACCACGAGGTATGGATACCAGGAACTCTTTGTTGACGTTTGAATAAGCAGTAGTGTGAGTGTTAACCTGACAAAATCACATCTTTATCTATTTGAGGTAAATTGTGCCTCAAACAATTCTGTTTCTGTTATGTTGATAATAAAACCTAAATGTCTCTGCCGTTGCATTCAAAACAATTCTTAGAATATAAATATCTTTTTGTGAAGACCGAGTAACACTGAAACATGAAATGTATCATTTCAGTTTCTAAATTAAGGTACCAGTGTGATACTGAGTTGTTTGGTTTCTCTGTCCAGGTGCGGTTCTTTGACCTGCGTCTCACCTTCCTGCTGACGGCTTTGAGAGTGGACACGAGGGCACAGCTGGCTCAGGAGCTTCACGGCATCAGGCTGCTAGGTAAATGATTTCCTCTGACCTGGAGGACCAACCTCATCTCTGTAGGTTACTAGTCTCAAAGGTAACTAACGCCGAGAGAACACTAACCCTCTAATTCACCGATGTTTGTAAAGCCTGGGATGTTCTTAAGTCAAACAACCTGTGATAAATCTTTAAAAAAGGGCCCTGTGAAGACTTATCACACATACTTAAGCTAAGTTAAAAGATGACATCTTTCCTGTCCTGTATATTTTCCAGGTAACCAGTTAGATGCCACACTTGGTCTGTGTTGGCCGGATTCGCTGGAGACAGCCCGGGCCGGGTTTGAGGGGGTCCCACCTGAAGAAATGCCCCTGCTGAGCAGAGAGCAGACAGAACTTGCCATGGAAAGTCTGAAGATACTGTTCAATATCACGTTTGACACAGCCAAGCGCAAGGTGGACGAGGTACTGAAGAAAATGACACAGTAGTCCTTCGTATTTCTGTCTTCGTTGTTATCTATATTCTACAGTTTTTGTGAGTTCTTTCATGTATCTATTCTATTGGAATAGCAGTCCTGTGGTTGATACATTCAGGGTGCCCTGACGAGTTCTACTGTCTATTCAAGGCACACAGACAGACACATACAGACATCATTCTTTACACGATGTGGGAGGGTATACAGTAGTTTTCACTGAAGAACAGTCACAGTCTGCAGTCACATCAGTAGCTCTGTGAGACCTGTCCTTAGTGTTTTAAGCTAAATGCATATGATCAGGCTCCTTTTTTAAGTTTAGTGTGCTAGTATAGTACATATCAAAATGTTTGCTGACCATATTTCTGGGTCCTATGACATTTGGATGCCCATTATTAGTCAGACTTCATGGGGATGTGTACTTCGGTTCCAAGTTTTTTGCCACTAAGTTAAAAAAATAATCTGGGAATCAAAAATTCAGTTGAAGTAGGAATCGATTCTGACTCTACAATATTTCAGTTGAATTGAAGATTTTCTACAAATTCACTGCTACCATATCAATAATTTAGCCTGTTTAAAATGTAACAATCATCATTATGCACAGTTTGTTACGAGTAAGAGGAAGACAAGATGCATGTGTTTCTCACTGAACATATGTTTCAGGTTTGTGGGCTACTATTAAAACTCTACTAAAGACACTTAATAGTTGTCTTAAACGTATACCTTTAAATGTCATAGTGGACTGTCTGGATGAGAATTGCCCCCAAAAAGTGTGTACTTTCATTGTGCTGGTCGAAATATTGATTTGTTCAAGCACAAGAACTAATCTGAATCTAACTTTTGTAAAAACAAAGAAAACAAAAACAAAAAAGACAGCCAATCATTTTCTATGATCAAGAAGCACAATGTGATATTAAATGGACAGAAATTGGCTGATGTTAAAAGTAGGATTAATTAGAATCATAGATCAATCTACTTGTTTTATATAAAAAAGAATTCACATATCAGCACATTTTCATATGAATGAATTACTGAGGGGATCCTATGTATTTTATTTAGTCTCCATTCTTGTCTTTTTTAATGTTCTTCCTGAGTCTCTTGCTTGATGGTTATGTAAAGTTATATTGTAATACCATATTCTGTTATCTAGTTATGTGTACTTTTGCCTGTACTATTTTTTTTTAAATAAAAGGCAGAAGAGTTAATTCTCTGGAGAAGAGTTTGCCCAATTTATGATGTCATCATCAATGACCTATTTCTAACAGTCACCTACCCCTACCTCTCCCTTAGAGAGTTCATCTTATACCTGGCTGCTGTTTGTGATGATCATACCTGAAATGTTTATGCTGTCCTATGAAGGGTTTTACTTCCTCTGTTTAAAAAACAAAAAAATGACACAATGTTAATCAGTTTCATCTGCCTGTTACACACAATCATGCATGAAAAAAAACTTTAACCTTAACAGAATAACACTGATGATAAGGGTTGTCTTTATAGCATGTGAACAACATGTGTTTGTTTGTGTGTGTTTGTGTGCAGGAGGAGGCAGCAGAGTACAGACATTTAGGTGCCATACTGAGACACTGTCTGATGAGCCAGGCAGACGGAGAGGAGCGCACTGAGGAGTTTCACAGGTAGTAACAAACATTCTTAACCTGTGTGTCTGTTTCTAATAAAAGCATCTCCATTAACACCACCCGCTCTCTTTTCCACAGCCATACTGTAAACCTACTAGGTAACCTCCCTCTGACGTGTTTGGATGTCCTGTTGATGCCCAAAGTGCAACACGGCTCCATCGAGTACATGGGCGTCAACATGGACGCTGTCAGCATGCTGATGGCGTTCATGGAGAAAAGACTGGACCGGGTAAGACAAGATTCAGCGTTGTGGGTATTTAAAAAAAAAACATGAATGACATTAAACAATGGTTACAATGCAGTATATTAAAATTGATACGATACATTTTTGAGTAAAAAGCATACATTGCTTGTTTTCTTTGGGATTAAATGAAAAAGACAGACGGATAAATTACTGTGATATATAATCTGAGACTTCGTCACTAGAGGGAGCTGTCTGTTAACTGTTACAAGTTGGCTCCGACTTACAACAAAAGAGGAAGCTCACACAAACTTCACATTCACAATCTGCAGCCTTCTTAAATACAGGTGAACCTGGGAGATTGGGTGACCTGAATCCACTCTGATAACCCTGGCCTTCACTCCACCGAAAGGCAACCAGGAAAACAACACTCTGGATTAGTAACAGATCACACAACTATACAGGACAACCCCAGGGTCGTCACGTTACTGATGAGTTAACATGGTTTTAACAGTACAAAGAAAACAGGTTTTTTTTGTTTCAATTCTGAAAAATTCCACATGTTAAAAGAATACTTATACATTTTGACAAATGCAGCTGACTATTTTATTAATACAATAATAATCAGTGTACTAAATGTTCCTGTGAAAGAATGGTGGAAAGTAACGTATTACATGTATAGGTTTGTAGGTCAAAGTTTAATTCTTGTTCAGCGGGGTAAGAGTGCAACATCAAGTCAGAGAGAGAGTTTCCTGTTCAGCCTGCAAACCACAGTCATGATGAACAAGAGCAAAACAACAAAAACAGCATACAAACAATAATCTAACTCAGCAAAAAAGAAAAGAAAAGCTGACTCAGCCTAGGTAAATAAAAAACTCATACTAAAGACACTTAAAACACCTAAGATTCAGCGAAACAGGGACAAATGTATGGAAGAAAACATAACAAGGAAAATACTTTAAACCAGTTATCCAGATTGTTCACTAAAAGTAGCACAAGCACACACATAAAAAAACAGTGATTACACATTTATACATTTGTATACAATTTTCAAGCTTGGACAAAAATCAATGTTTTATATAGAAAGTTTGGACTGGTATGACTGTGTTAAATAAACGTATCAAATCTGATAACATATATGCTGATAATACATATTTGTGACAGTCCCATATTGGCTGAATAATATTATCCAAACAGTTCACTAGGTATCTAATCATGTTTATCAACGTCTGTTAACTCTGGATAATTTCTCAAAAACTGTCATGGATGTGTTTGATGAAACTCTGCTGATGAAATGATAACAGTTTGTATGTTCATTTTGCAGGGACATAAGCTGAAGGAGACCCTCCTCCCCTCACTGAACCTGCTGACTGAGAGCGCCCGCATCCACCGAGAGACCAGGAAGTTCCTCAGGTCAAAGGTCAGCCCTGGACTGAGACAAAGAAAGGCCTTTCTCTAACCTGTCCCTCCTAACTCACACTGTCTGAAATCACACACTCCTCACTACATAGTGAATATGCTGTTTTTTAGTGGTGACTGAATACTGAGTATGCATTATCGTACCCTGTATATTCCAACTCATTGCATCCAACAATCCATTGTGAAAAGTAGTGTACAAAAGGTGGTCACTCTTCACGCTTGTATATACCATCAAGCATTGCGGTTCATAGCTTTTTGCGAGCGAAAAGTGGTGACCAGTGTGAACGCGCAACACAGAAACACAGTAAAGTCAATATTTGGTGGCATTTTTACTGAAATCTAGAAGTTTGTTTACTAACGAATAAAGGATTTTAAACAGTGTAATGATAGTTTGTCCTAATGCTGATGCAGGCACAAGTAGTGTTCAGTACAGTTTTTTGTGCCAAATGAGTGCACCTTAGTCCATTACATATACCTCCCTGTACAGTGAGTAGGGAGTTGTTTCAGACACAACCTCTGTCTCACAGACTTCATATGAAGTCACACTCGAAGCTGAAGCACCTTTCATTAAGGCGTCCTCATTAGATACAGCGACAAGCTTTAGGGCCAAGGACGAACTGCCCTCACCCCCAAGGACTCAAGGAACTTTAGGTTACCATGGTTTCATGTCACTCAAATAATAATAGCTACATAAATAACAGCGAGACAGCGCTTTAAAAAGACTCCATCTAATGAGAAAAGACTATTTTTTTGGTGGCATTGTTTTCTTTTAAATCTGATTTTTATAAGATGAGTGAAGTCACTGTGAATATTAAAACGGTTAAACCAAATAAACATGCGCGCTAACATTCCACGGCTAGAATGGTAAATGAGATGTAAGCTTTGACACTTACAACATCAGTATGATATTAATTTGTGTCTTATATAAAGCTGTGTATTGGTAATCACATAGAACTTCCATTTATAGAGCGACTCCAGAGACAAACAATAACCCACGTTAAAGATGTTCAACAAGTCAGTAGCGGTGCAGACTCACTCTTGAATATACACTCTTGGTATAACAACCCACGCCGACTCAACACTCAGCGGATTTGGACGGCACTTTACGTGACGGACCCTACATGTGAGCGTGCAAACGGAGTGTAGGGAGAGGGTGTAGGGAGCGGTTTGAGAAAGGCCAGATGTGTGATTACTGTAGGTGTGTTTGTGGCTCAGGTATCATCTATGTATGTGTGCTTTAGGTCCTGCCCCCCCTGCGTGATGTGATCAACAGACCAGAGGTGGGTGGAGCTCTGAGGAACAAACTGGTTCGTCTGATGACACACATCGACACTGATGTCAAGGACTGTGCAGCTGAGTTCCTGTTTGTTCTCTGCAAAGAAAGCGGTGAAGGAAAAATCTGTTCATTGATTTATTTTCAGTACATTTCTTAAAGCATGGCTTCACATCACATCAAAACTGCTACAGTACATTAACAGTTTGTATGTCTTCCAGTTTCAAGGTTCATTAAGTACACCGGATACGGTAACGCTGCTGGTCTGCTGGCTGCCAGAGGACTCCTGAGGGGGGGCAGAGACTCAGGGATCTACTCTGAAGATGAAGACTCTGAGACAGAGGAGTACAGAGAGGCTAAAGCCCAGTCAGTACCAATACAACAGTGTCTGATGTAGAAGAGATGTACTACTGCAAGCTCAAACAATCAGCTGTTTGTATCCACAACAATAAGTAACCCAAAAATCCATAATGGGTTGATCTTATAACACCAGCATCCCTCTTTAGCTTTGATAGATAATAAAGATAAAAGAGAACTTAACTCTGCATTTCAGTGACTTAATTTAAAAATGCTTTTCTCTGCTCTCTCTCTTATTCTCTCTGTCGTCTCTCTCCAGTATTAACCCGATAACAGGAGTTGTAGAAGAAGAGCAGCCAGACCCCATGGAGGGAATGACGGAGGAGCAGAAGGAAATTGAAGCCATGAAGCTGGTTCACATGTTTGACAAACTGTCAAGGTCAATAAAAGCAGCAAACACACACACACACACACACACACACACACACACACACACACACAGACATGCTGAGAATGTGCTGTCTAGCTCTACCTAGTCTATAAGTTAAAACAAATAAAAAGATTACATTTATTTATACTAACTTGACTGCTGAACCCTGCACATGTTAAACTGGCACTAGAGCGTGAATGTTCTTCATTTTGAAGCCTTGGGTCACAATATGCTGCTAAACTTGAAGAGTTGGAATTGAGAACATGTTGACCAATCGCTTCGAAGTGATCCGCAGATATTTATTGAAATTATTATTATTACAGCTACTTTAAAATAATTGATTATCCATCAATTATCTATTCGCTTTTTCCATTTGGGGTCACAGGGGGCCTGTCATTGGGTGGGGTACACCCTAGACTATCCGCCAGTCAATCACAGGGCTGACATGTAGAGACAGACAACCAGCTCCCTCTCACATTCACACCTACGAGCAATTTAGAGTCACCAATCAAACTAACGAGCATGTCTTTGGACTGTGGGAGGAAGCCGGAGTACCCGGAGAGAACCCACGCATGCACGGGGAGAACATACAAACTCCACACAGAAAGGCCCTGTCCGCATGGGCGGCTCTAGGCAGGGGTCAACAGGGGCCAGTGCCCCTGTAACACTGAGCTTGGTCCCCCCCTGTGGCCGCCCCTCCAAAAGGAAGAGCCCCCCCTCATAACACATACACAGTATTTGACTCAACAACCGGACTCACAACCTTATATTAAATACTGTTACTGAAACAAATATAAATCATGGTATTATGTAGTGGTATTTATGATTTATGATGTGCTCCATTATTTGGCATAATATGTCTGACCCTCTAAGTAAAAGTGGTCTAGAACCGCCACTGCCTGTCCGACAGGGACTTGAACTAGGAATCTCCTTGCTGTGAGGCAACAGTGCTTACCACTCCACCACTATGCAGCCCAATAATTGATTAATTTAACTATAATTTGCTTCTTCAATAAAAACAGTATTTTTTAAAATTCAATGTATTGTGACTGAAAATTAAATGAATGAGTTGACAAGAATAGGAATCTTCAAGTTGCAATTACTGTACACTGTTTCAAAAAATGAATTCTTACACTGTTTTTAATACTGCCACAGACATGCACACAGCATCACATTTCATTTATTTCTTGTTTCAGGACCAACCTGATCCAGCCAATGCAGCTCGGTATGGACGGGAAGTTGCGAGCGATGACTCAAGGTGATCTGCATAACCACTCCCACAATCCTGTGTTCCAGCCAGAAGAGCCGACCAACTCAGGCAGCGAAGACGAGTCTTAGAAACTCGAAAGCATAGAGGTGACCGGAGGGGCAAGTCTGTTTAGTCATTTAAGGTCTTCATATGTCACACAGTCCAAACTTGTTCTTGCTTACTTATTCAGACAGGAGGCAAGAAAAATGAAGACAGCATGGAGTACATGGAGGCAACTTAAAGACCATGTTACTGGTTTGATGTCTACCTTCCTCTCACTGGCAGTTCACCAGTATTTAACAGCTGACCACTTCTCAAAGAGCACCATCAATGTGTAGACATGTTTCAGTTCATATCAGGACACTGATAAGATGATTCAGAACATTTATAATACAAACATAAACCTCATCTGCTTCACAAAGGTAGAATGTGTTTGAATAGACCTCATCACCTGCATGTTTGAGAGGACTACTGATCACTGCGCTGATTCACGACAGGCAATTCTCAAGATATTAACATTGAGCTGAGTATTGAGTCAAAGGAGCGCCATAAAAAGAAAAGATAAGTAAAGCTATGCTATGTAAGGAAAATAACTTTTTTTTATTTTTCCCTGTTATATTTTATCATTGTGTATCTTAAAAATAGATTTTTCATGTATATTTTTCATGTCAGTTAAGAATTGTAGGTTTTTTTATCATCACATTATTTATTTTACTCCTTCACTGTTGCTTTGAGGACTCATTGAAGCTCCAAGCTCTCATTCAGCCGCTCTGACATTGACATATACGCAGTGAAGAAGAATATTGGAAAATATGAATATAAAATGGACAAATGAACAATGAGGATGAAACAATTGGTCATAAGAATTCATAGATAGAATTCGATTTTTCCACATTTTATTTTTATGTTAGCTTATTCAGCTGTATTTCTTTTTATGACTCTCCTTTGACTCTTTAGCTGTGGTCTCACATCACCTCCTACCTGACATCCAAACAATTCATGTCAGAAGGAAAGTGATGTGTTTGTGTATGAATGAATGTTTAGATCTTAGACTTTAAAAGAAATTTAGACTTTTAGATTTCAACCCAAAAGAGATTGAAAGTTACATTTGACAACCACAACAGTATAAAGTTTTTCTGAACAACATCCCAGCCTCTGTGTTACTCGGGGTTGTCCACAGACCTCACTGTCAACAGTCTGAACTCAGACCTTTTTTGAAATTGAAGTGGTTGCTCACACATTTACAGTTAAGCAGAAATGATATTATCACACTGGGTTCACAACATAGAGTTCTTCTTCACAGCCTGCTGCTATATTTCTCTGTTACTCTTTTTTCTTTTCAACAATAACGAGAAGAGAAAATTAGTTCACAATCCGACAATAACAGTCCCCTCTAGCCAGACAGGACAAACAGAGACTCAACAAAAAACAACAACAAAAACCTAGACAAACAATACACCATGTACCTGATCCACATACAGAATAAACAGCATTCATCATGTATCACCAATCAATGAGTCAGGTCAGGGCCCACAGTTCATTTAACAGATCCTCCCTCCAAGCTTTCCTCTAAGTAACCCACTCATAGCTCCTGATTGTACTCAATACCTCGATCCATTCTTTAAAAGTGGACGCAGTGGATGATTTCCAGAGGTGTAGAGTTATCCTACATCCTGTTATCAGAGCTTAACGGCACCATCATTTTTAACGTTTTGACATTTCAATGTTTTCCGGCAGCATTCCCAAGAGATAAACACTTTGATTATTAGTCCAATGTAATGCAAACACTGCTGCTCTTCAATTTTGAACCACGAAGGGATGTTGGTTGGAGGAAGATGCAATTAGGACAAAGAGAATGACATCAGTCTATCCTTGATAAAACTAACCCCCCCCCCCCCCCGATTGAACATAGATTTTTTTTCCCCTACCTTATTACATTTTATTTAATTTCATCTCATTATGTTTTGATTAATTAAAATGTCTACCAATCAGGGACATGTTCAGTTTAGCCTGCTTCTGTTACTGAACTGAGAACGTGTTTCTTTGAACTTTGTAGGATTATTTTGAGATGAAGATGAATGTCACTTCTACTCTTCATGTGAGTTGAAGAAAATGTATGAAAGTTAGCCAAAGAGCTGTATTTTGAGTTTGTGATGATGACATATTTTTGAGACAAAAAAACAACTGAATTTTAGATGCCTGTTGTTTTTCATAAAGCCCTTCAAATGTTTTATTTTTAGAAGAAACTGCAGACAGAAAATATCTCATTTTAAAATGGAACATAAAGAATGTAAAATCTGAAGCATTGATATATGAGAATTAAATGTATTATCCTTTATATTGTTATTATATAGCTGCCAACTTTACCACGGACTGTAATATACATTAAAAGAATGTAAATGACACGTGGCTCTTGTTGTGTTTGTTTAAAAGGTACAGTGATAATATGACAAGTGCTTTCCTTTACTTTCAAGATCAGCACTCATTTTCCTGCAGACTGTATTGTTTGTAGTGTACGAGTACTGTCAACCTGTTAGGATGTCAAGTGTGCAGTGCAATATATTTAAAAAGTGGTCAACCATAATATAGTGCATTTAAAAAATACACAAGGGGGCCATCAATGAACAGGAAGTGTTCAGTCTTCAGGTTGAGTCCTGACCAGATGCTTTTAAAAGCTTTTTAACCACATCGAAGAGTCTTCATCAGCAGAGGGAGTTTTCTTTATTTAACATCAACAAGAGAAGTTCCATGTTATTCATGCTGAATGCCAACACAGCTGTTTGCACACACCTGAGAAAACCAAATCCACTGAGGTACAGGCTCCTGAAAGTTAATAGTTAGAAGCCAAAGTTCATTTTATATTAGGATTTATTTTGTCATACTCCTTTTTTCAGTGGTTGTAGAAATTACCTTTTTATGGACTGATGAACTGATAAGAGAATATTTAAAGTGGACCCAACATGATATTATAGGGATTTGAAAAAATGCATCAGGCCTATTCAGTGCATCAGGTTCCAGTTGAGTTTAGATAGTAACAATCAATCCATAGCATTCAGACCTGTGGTACTTTTTAGTGTTGGATTAGTGGAGTAGAGGAGCAGCTGTGGCTCAGTTGGTAGAGTCGTCGTCTCTCAACCACAAAGGTTGGGGGTTTGATGCACAGCTCCTGCAGCCACATGTCCGATGTGTTAAGACACTTAATCCAGGATTGCTCCTGCTGCTTAGTCGGCAGCATGTGAATGCAGATTTGTTTCTTTTGATGTTCTCACCACATAGCAACCACAGCCATCAGAACGTGAGGAAACACACAACCTTTGCTCACTGGATAGTGTACGGATACACAGATGTGGAAACCATATGAGATGATTTAAAGATCCAGTAAATTATCTTAAAAGTACTGTTTAAAATGTAAGCAGCAAGCTTTTTGTTTTTTCTTACTGCATGTCCACATTTTAACTTATGTCATTTTGGCATCATCAGAGATTTTTTTTAAAACAGACCCCCCCCCAAAAAAAACAATCACACAGTGGAAACATTTGACACAACTCATATTTTTAATAATTATTAACAAGTATAGGTATTGGATTTATACTCTGTTCATAACTTTGTTTTTGTTTGCTTTCTGTAGTTTTGTACATATTTTGTGCGTGCAAGGCAAAGACAAACATGATGGTAGAAAATAAATTCTCCCCTGAGAGGAGGAGGATCAGGAGCTGATCTGAGGTCTGCTCTTACAACACACAAACACACGTACACACACCATCCACCACAACCACCCTGAGAGCTTGATAGACTGAATAGTTATCTCACACTATAGCTGATCATATATTTCTCTGATATAAGAATGTCTCTGGTCCTGTTGTTCCCTTACAGAATGACTAAACATGGATTGATATGAATGTCACAACGTTGTGTTCACAGAAAGATGCAGGAACATAAAGCACTTGCATGGAAAGTGTCCATGTATTCATCTGAAGACTCAAAAAGGCTAATGTGAGAACCACTACGTAAGGCAAAATAAATATGCAGAGCACAAACTATCTGAACGTGGATGGTGTGATTGGATCAGGAAATAAAAAAGAAAGTGAAATCGTTTTGACATCACTAGAAAATAATCAGAATGTTGGGTCTAATGCTTTAATGTAAAAGTTATTTTTCAAGATAATCAGAGCCACTTTACGCCTCTCTGAAGTAGTGAGATGAAACGTAAAAATGTAAAAGTTCAAAGGTCAGGTTCAAGCCTTGTAAGCATGGTTAGCTAACAAAATCATCCACAAACAGCCCCTCAATATTTGAAAATATCAGCTGGTCCCTTGGAGCACGTGAGCAATCATGACTCAAAGCTCAACATTTCTCCTTCCTGATTCATCATTATTGGAGCGTAAAGAACCGGGAGTAAGAAAGTCATGACGGGGAAGGGAGGTGCTGCGGTGATGTTACAGCTTCAATATTAATAAGCCTAGCCCCCCATCATAGATGTGAATTCTGTCTGTCATCTAAATATGGTCACTTCTGTCTTTAAAACGAAACAAAAAAAAACAAGCTGTCGACCGCCTAAGTTCCAAACTTGAAGGCTTCATAGCCAAGGTCCCAATACCAATAAGTAATGTCACAATGGCTATGTCTTATCAAACAGCTTATGGTCAGAAACATATCAAACAAATGAAGTTCCTGGTTCGAGGATGGCATGACAACAACACGTGGTTGGTGTTTGGTGCTAGCTAGCTACAGAATACATCTGTACACCTGCTGTTTGGGCTGAATGCTATAGGAATAATGTGAAACTTTCAAAATTGGTTATAAAGCAACAACAGTTTTTGTCCAGACATTAGCCCTCACACTGGTTATAAAGTTTGTTCCTTAAGAACATTAGGAATGAGTTTGACTAAACAGCAACAATACAGATGTGAGCTGTACACAGCAGCTGTGTCTTACTAGATGATCAACATTCAAGTCACTCTCAGACCTCGTAGACCCTCCCAGCTCCTGATCTCAGAGATGTCAAAGCGTCCTCCCTCCTCTCTCTCCCAGGTGTCTCCTTAGGTGAGTCAGTCTTTGTGTTTTTCAGACAGGGGGGGCTCAGTTCTTTGGTCAGCTGGCTCTGCCTTCACTGTGTGCTGTTTAGAGACCGCCTCCCCCCTCTCCTGTGTGCTCTTTCTCAGATCTCCTGAACCTGGGCTCTTCTCCTTGTGTGACTGAGGACTCACTTCAAGGGGTTCAGATGCAGCTGGGCTTGTGCTGGGGGTCTTTTCTTGAGGTGATTGGGACACCAGCAGTTTTTCTAGAGTTTGAGAAAATGCAGGGGATGTGCCGGGGCTCTTTTTCTGGGATGTTGGGGTTACAGGAGGTTTTTCCAGGGTGTGGGTTTGTGCTAGAGGCCTCTCAGGGACAGACGGAGCTTTGTCGAGCGCTGCAGCTGGACTTAAGAGTCGAGCTGATCCTTCATGTTGAGCCTGAGCTGTAGAAGAGGGACATGCAAAGCTGGGGAATTTCTCCTTTACCGGAGGAGGCGGCGGCTTGGTTTCAGCTACTGTCCTTGCATCTTTATGGACAACCTTCTTCTGATCTTCTGCCGCCTGTTTCCCTGTGTCACTGGCTGGGCGGATCAAAAAACAAACAGTTGGAAGAATACATTTACACCTCAGACAGAAAAGGAAAGTAGGACAAATATAAAGTTAAAAGTAAGAAAGCACAAAGTAGATTATGACTGAAATAAAAACTCTTACCCTCCTGAGCTCGTTGTGCTCCCTCCCCGCTGGATGGATCTTCTGTGCAGGTGGTTAAGTCCCCCATGTTGCCCCGGAAACGGATGGGTGATCTCTGTAGCACTGCCTTCAGCTCTGAAGGGGACAGAGGACAAAGTACTTTGGACTGAGACTGTGTTCAGACCGAAATGAAGAAAGACTTTGTCATGACGCTGTTTTAATTGTTTTGTTGTTTGTGAAATAATCAGGAGCTGCACACAGTTTGCTTTATTTTACCCTCTTCACACAGACAGTGTCTGAATTCACTTTAGTTTTGCTTTCAGCTATTTTAGGCAGATTAGTGACCAGTGTGATGACCTGTTAGCTTGACTCTATACCACGTTATCTCTGATGTAAACCAACTACCAGCGTTCTGTTTCAGCAGCAGCTCAACCGTCCATCTGTCTCCAGCCAGCGTCAGATTTACTGTATCCAGCCATTCACACATGAGCTGAACTCAGACTACAGCAGCATGAACCCATAATAAAAAAAATATAATTAAAGTGGTCAAAAGGAGGCAGAAATATCTTCATCAAGTCCCAGATCTGTAAAAAGTCTAAATTCAAGTTTTGTCAGATCTTTCTGCAAAATGAGAACAGCAAACAATCTTTTAAAACACTTGTTTTTTTAATGGAGTTTTAAAGGAACATTTCTGAAACATATAGGACGTCAGGAGAATCTCAGGGCTGATAGTCTTTCAAGTTGACAAGCACAAATTTACATCACTGCATGACTTTGTAAGTAGTTGTGCTCATTAAAAAATGTGCTTCACACAGTGACCCACATTCATATGTAAAGCTACATTAATGAGTATTTATAAAAAAGGAAAGCTGGTTCAAATGATATGCTGTCTGACCTTTTGTAAAGGCTAAAGTATTCAGAACATGTTCAGAACACAACATGTGTCTGCCGTGTGCACTGTACTTTTGTAGCAGAAGGTAAGTTCATAAAATGTTTGTCATCAAGTTGAACAGAGGTTGTTCAATCTGTGCATTCATTTTTGAACAGCTTGTTCTTTCATGTTACAACTCTTTCAAACGTTTCTATTAATGCTCTTGGTACTGAAAGTGACCAGTTTTAAGTTTTTCAATTCTTCATTATAATACATTAAAACAAATCTTACCTTGTGTCATGGTCAAAGCATCCTCGTGGACAGACACAGCTCTGCGTTGTGGGAGGGGCTTAATGTGTTGGCGTGGCTTAGGAAGACTCTCTAGAGGAGCGCAAACACACACACACACACACACACACACACACACACACACACACACACACACAACGTTTTATAAATGTAACATCGTTTTCATTTGTCCTTCTATCCCCTGTAAAAACTGAACAGGGGAACAAAAAGAGTAAGATAGGTAAACCTGAAGTCATATTTTTCATTAAAGTGAATGCATTTTTGTAAATGTATATATAAAGTGTGAATGTTTAAATATTGGCCGACCCTTCTAAATGCTAACCAATGAAATGTATTTTTCTGCACACCGTTTCATGACACAACTGATGTAAGCGTTCCGTGTGCAGACCACCGTGATGCAGAGTCTACAGCTGTTTCTTTAACAGATCCTCCAACAGAACATTAAAAACAACCCTACTTCCCCTGATCTGTCATACAAGCTCTTAACCTTCACTCAGCCTATCTCTTATATGGATTAA